AAACCCCTATGAGGGGGCAGATTCACCCTTTGAGCATTTACAAAAGGTTAATGCGAAGGGAAGCGGGTGAACTGCACCGTCGACAGCACTCCACACTTCATCATCCCAGCCAATCGCAGTATTATACTTCCATTTTTTTTGGCGTGGGCGGGCCTCAAAGACAGCAGTTGCTGCACTCGGTCCCAGTAAGAACTGCAAGAACTACAAGAATGAAAAAGAGAGAGGTAATGCACACTAAGGTGAGACGGGCTGCGACTTGCGGACTTCGCCGGCAGGCATCGTTCAGCCCTGGTTATGTGTCAAGTGCTAAAGCCGCTCAGAAGTCCCACTTCCAGAGAGATCGGGTAGCACAATGGCGTACATACGCATGCGAAGGCCAACTTGCCAGGAACGTTGGGGCACCCATTGCTTTCCATGGCAGGAACAAGTAGAAGCGCAAACGTCCTGCCCGGCGCCCGAGAAAAAAGCTCGCAGGGGCACCGGATCCATCATGAACAGAGCAGCGTCTCCACAACCCACGGAACAAGGTGCATGCCAAGCAAGATGGAAGGTGCACCGACAAGTGGCGTTCTCAAGCCCAGCTTCCCACCAGGTGGGCCTCGCAAGGGCAATGATCCGGAACCTGAATCGAAAGACGGGCAAAGCAACCAAATCGCAAGAGGCTGCACGGCTGCACGGCGCACCGGCACTGGCAATTGCAGCCAACACAAATAGATTGCTCTGCAACGTCTGATCGGTAATGCAGCAGCACCACCCAGTCAGATACACTGATGCTAAGACGGCACACAGCCTACGCGGCCAAGCCCAGCTTCCCACCAGGGTGGGTCTCGCAAGGGCACAAAGGTCAGTTCAGACAATGGGTAGCAGCAACAAGCACTGAGGCAAGATGCAATCAAAATAGAAGGCTGGTGAGTGACCGCCATGCTCTCCAAAGCCCAGCTTCCCACGAAGTGGGCATCGCAAGGGCTATCGCTCAGGCAAGTTGTTCACTTTCCGTGCTGCAGAGTCGGGCTTTATCTCTTATCCAGCCACACTTGTGTGGCATGTGCAGGTGCCCAGCTTCCCAGGGCGTGGGTCGCAAGGGCCGAAACAGAGACAGATGTGCCCAGAGTAAGATCTCCAAAGAGAGGGGAATTCCAGAGCCGCAAACCGACCCTGCCCAGCTTCCCACCTAGGCGGGTCTCGCAAGAGCAAGAGCACGCGCAAGTGAAGGCTCGAAGGCTTTTGCTTTGGGTCTTCTGCACAGCGCAAGAAGTCCTTTTTAGATCTGGTGAAGAAACCTTCCTGGAAATTCCGCCCTTGTACGATCCAGCTCCCACCGGTAACAGAAGTGCAGTTGCGGACTGTTCTTGTAAAGGGAACAGTAACAGTCCTGTAACAACAGAAAATGCAACCAGAAGCAAGGCAGAGCAAGAAATGCTGCACATGGGTCCCTGCTAAAAGAGCAAAAAAATCTAGCGAGAGCCAGGTGAGCCCATGTCGTGCATGAGCGGGTTTTGGAGTTAAGCACCGTGCACAAATTCCGAACCATCACCCACATCTCTCGACACCATAACTCTGCACAGCTCAAGAAGTCCTGTTCAAATCTGGTAAAAGATACCTTCCTGGAAATTCCGCCGCTCTTGTACCCGTTCATGCACTCCGGACTGTTCTTTGAGGGAACAGCAACAGCCGGTCTTGCAGAGGATGCATGGCGGCTTGATCTGCTCTATTCTGTGAAAACACAGCAGCAGCGCGCTGAACCCTCTTTTTCTCACGGCTTGAGCCAAAGTCAGCAGCCGGAGGCTTTGTCTGTGCAACTGGCCACAGATATTCCATGTGCCATAGCACTGCAAGTGAAACACTGCTCAGCCACGTGTTCTCCACAACTGCAAAACAAACTCAAACGTCAGTGGGAGTTCTCGGGACCTACTCAAAACTAGCGCAAGCAGAACTACAGCTACACAGTCACTCCAAACGTAGTTACACCAAGGAAAAACACTTCCCTACACTCTCAAGCACTTCAAAAGGCTTTCCACTGAAAGCAAGCTCGTCAGTCAAGCCTCCAAGGCAAAACTTTCAGCTAAAACGACTCACACCTGAGCAGGCATGCAGGACAACCAAAGTAACATGTCTTAAACATGAACTTTCACACCCCCGCTTGGACTGTAATGCCTCAGCGCAACAGTGTAAGCACAGCTCTTTAGGCTAAGTGCTCTGTTCGTCATCCTCGGCACACGTCCGCACGGCAGTCCCTTCTACGGCTACTTTCAAGACTCGCTTAGCAGCACGCAAAAGAGCCCTACCTAGCTTGGTGGGGTAGTAACCGGTTGCCTCAAGACTTTCAGGAGCAACATGCACATGATTCTTGTCACAAGATTTCCCGGAGAAGATTTCACACCACTCCGAACAGTTGCAGGCAAACCACCATCTCTTATAGACCAAATCAAAAGCACATCGGTCTACTTCTCGTCCAAAGGATAGGCCAAGGGACTTCTTCACTCTTTGGTACGTTTCTTCCTTCCAAAGTCCACAGGTCTTTGGCCACTCCTGAGTCAGCAGGACGTCCTGGCAGTGGTTCTGCAACAGCTTTCCTAGCGTTTTCCACGAAGCAACATGCTTCTTCATCTGCTCACGCCAGCGATGGCGAAACTTCGGTTTGTGCCAGTTCTTAAACCGAAAACTACAACCTGCAGTACACGGCGACGCTACATGGATATAGATCTTGGGCGGATTTCGTTTCAACAGACAGAGCAGAACTTCTCCTAAAAACAACTGTGTGTTCTTACTCAAGAAGTCTTCTTCCTGAGTGATGCCAATGTAAGCAACGCTCTCACGCTTGCACGCTGCACACAACGCACTATCACGGGCACAGAACAGCTCAACCACCAGCAAAGGAACAACCCCCATAGCCAAATCAACGGCTACTGGACGATACTTCAGTAAGTTCTCCGGAAGCTCTTCAAGCTTCTCGTGGAGGTTCTCAAGTTCCTCCACTCTCTCTCGAAGTTGTTCAGGTACACACAGTGTCTGCAAGTCTTCCTCACAGATCCGCTCAAGTCCACAAGCCTCCAGCAGATGCTGGAGCATAGCTTCTTCAGGACTCTTTGTGAGTCCGTCGCTCGGATTCAGGCATCCTTGGATGAATGTGAGACGCAGTCTCTCACTTTGAACAAGCTCTTGCAAGTACCGATGCCTCAACTCCAAATGCCGCACTCGACGCAGCAGGCCTTTCATCTTCGAAATAGACAATGCCGCTTCACTGTCAGACGACAGGTAAATGGGATACGATCCCGTGTCACCGGCAGGCAGGCCTTGAAGGAGCGTTTCCAACAGCAGGGACAGGTACACAGCTTCCTTGGCAGCTTCAGTAAGCGCGGCCAGCTCTGCTTCAGCTGAGCTTAAGGCAGTCACTGACTGCTTCCTTGAGAAGCACTTGATCATCATGCCATGCCAAAGGACAATGGCACCAGACACTGAACACACGTTCCACGAGGCATCCACATACCCCGAAAGCAAGGTCTCCGACTCAAAACTCTGGTCGACCCAGCCAAACGCAGAGAAGCGCTGAAGGTACTCAGGCAACGCCATCACCCAACGCACAACTCTTCTTAAACAGGCTTCGGCTTGGCTGTCAGGATCACTCTGAAAACGACCTAGAAACCCAACAGGATAAGCTAGGTGAGGAAGCGTGAGACTGGCCCACATGAGCTTCCCAAGCACACGTCGATACCTTTCGTACGACTCAGTGCTTATTGAACCTCCAGGTTCCTTCTTCCGGTACTCCCTCTCAAGGTTTCCCAAAACAGGCTTCACACCTTTTCCGCTGATCCCAAACTCTTCACCAAGCGACTTCAAGTAGCCCGGTTTCAAGCCGAACAACACAGGTCCAGCGTCCGTCACACGGACGATAATTCTTCCTAGAAACTCAAGTTGCCCTTTCTTTCCAGGCTCCAAGATCCCAGTCTGCTTCATTTTGTAAATCTTGGCCAACTGAGCATACAGCTCCTTTGCAATCTTTGAGTTCTGGGAGAAGATGATCAAGTCATCAACATACACCAGCACCAAGGTCAAAGAACCGTCTTTCTCGAGACGGTGGTGCACAGTAGGGTCCGCAGTTTCTCCAAACCCAAACTGCCCACGCAACGTGTTGGTGAACTCCAAGTACCAACTCAACGGCCCAACCCGCAAGCCATTCATGGCTTTGTGTAACTGAGCAAAAAGCGGATTGCCCTGATCGTCATACATCCCGTTCGGAAAACGGATGCACTCAACACCTTGGACAGGCGCCTGCATGAAGGCTACCGAAACATCGGCAGACAACAGCGTTCCTCCACGAACCGCGTGCACAGCAAGGACACCTCGTAAAGCTTCCAAGGAGGTCGTAGGGGAATAGATCCCGTCAGCCAGAGGGCTGGATCCAAGCGCGTAGTCACGCACAACCAAACGCGCTCACACGGTCAGGGTTTGTCACAGAGGGTTTGGAAGTTAGAACCCAACGAGTGGTGTGGATTCTTCGCACGGCCTTCTTCCGGGCCTCAGCTTCTCCAATCACGGTTGCCACACCAAAGGCATCTAACTCCGACAGCTCAAGCTTCATCCCTTCTTCAAGATGCTTCCTAGCGAGAACCTTCCCTGAAACTTCACACACCGCGTTATCTGGGACATGTACCCAGATTTTTCTACCTCCAAACTTCATACTGAACCACTCAGCGGGATTATCTCCCCTCCTCAGCTTCTGCGTCACACGAAGGTCAGGTCCTTCATAGAGCTGGCGAAGACCATACTCGTACAGCCAGGTCAGGCCATCATCCATGATATTATCTTCACCATCACCCATCTCAACATCATCCTCATCAAGGACACCACCAGGAGGAGGTTCGACATCCATCCCTTCACCATCAGCAGGAAGAGAGGGGGAATAATCTGCTAGATCCTCATCCTCCATCGCATCAGGAGCTCCAGGCTCTTCTGCTTGTCCCACAGGGAACTCTAGACTACCATCAGGCAACGCCGGAGGGTCAGGAGGAGGCTGAGGGCTGAGGTGCATCCAGAGGCACATCAAACTTGATGGGTCGCTCGGGGTCCTCCCGGTTTCCTTTCAGTTGGTCTAGCACTGCTTTGTCAAACTCTACCGGGTCCCGGGCACGAAACGAGCTGAAAATCTCCAAACGAGGCGGCTTCCCATCTCCTAAGGGAACAAAGACACGTATCCCAGAGCCGTTGGCGCCATGGGGCCCAACGTAAATCGCCCTCACTAGGCGCTTTCCTCGATGCTCCGGATAGTCCTTTTGTGGCTTTCCAAAGCCTACCACCCCAAACTCACAACTCCTCACAGCTTGGACTGTAGAGCCCCTGAGGCGTTCCAGAGGCGTGCTTTGTTCCTTGGACACATGAAACAAGTTATGCATCCTAACAGCATACCGCATGGCTTCAATAAACAAGTAGCTCCCTAACGGCAGCTGCCCTCCTACACGCTCTTCCAGTCCTAGCCAAACAGACCAAAACGCTTCTTTCACGAGGCAAACGTTACGCTCAACAATGCCTTTTGCCTGGGGCCTGTTCACTGCAAACGGAACCCAATGCATGGACCGTCCTACAAACGTCCTATGCTTCGCAGAATCCCGGAACACACTCTCCAGGAGGTTTTCTTGGTCACCGTGGACCACAATGTCCAGCCCGTTGAGGCCCATCTCAGAAAGAGCCTTGCAAACGGCTGGTACAGGCACCGGGTCCTCAGGACCCAAAACAACAGTACTCAAGTATCCCGACAGGACGTGAACGATCAACAGAAACCGAACATTTCGACCGAAGAAGCCAAAATCTACTTGAAGCTCTCCCGGCGCATAGTGGCTCTTCATGTTCTTGCGTCGTGCTGGCACACGACCACGTGCCGACTGGCACACATCACAGAAACTCAGATAGGGCTGATGCCCTTTGTTCCGGTGCGCTCGCAAACGCTCTGAAGTAATGTATACTGGAACCTCAAGGTCTTCAGGAGGAGACAAACCTGAACCAGACGGCTCGGGACGCGGTTCGGGGTCAGGAGGGCCGGGAGGTTGAGGCTTCGGGTCGGGGTCTGGCAACAACTCTTCTTCAGAATCAACAGTGATCTCAACCGGCAGACCTGCAAGCATACGCGCCCTATGCACAACACGCTCGGACACAACATGCTCACGCACAACATGTGGGGCCTCAGGAATCCGCGGTGCTTCTTCATTATGCTGCCCACGCAAGGCAGCAACTTTCTTAAGCACTTTGCGGACCAAGCACAACAACCTTCTCATCATCGGCCGTTGGACTCTCCAGGGGAAACACCGACGGGGATTCCGACCTTTCAAAGTTACTCGCACCCACTTGTGTCTCCTACGGCTTCCGAACCGCAGCTTCCTACGACCCCCGCTTCGACGCACTACCACAGCTACAGCACAGACTGTCAGCAGCACGCAAAAGCGAAACCCCGCAACCTTTGAAATAACCCTGAACAAGGCTGCGGCACACGATCTTTCTAAGGAACACCTGGGCAGAGCGAGACACTTTGTGGATCCATTCGGGTAGGGCGTAGCTTCGGGAACACTCAAGCAACACGCACCTACCGCACCACACTCGAGGTTACCTTCTCCTAAAGCACTGCACTCACGACAACCTACCGCTTCGGCACTGCACTCTAGACGTTCTACAGCTTCGGCACTGCACTCTAGACTGCCTACCACTTTGGCACCGCACTCTTGCACCTTTTTCGGGGAAGACACAGAAGAGCTCACTTTGAGGATGACGGGCCTCGAACCTAAGGTTGAGGCCAAAACCTCAGAAGAAACACACCGCCTCAGATCGAAGGTGATCGATCTCTCTTCTTTGGCGTAGGGGCTAGAGTTGCCCTTGCTGTTGGCCGTGGTGCTTTTGACGGCCTGACTGAAGGTCTCACTGTAGGGCGGGGCGGTGGAGTTTGAGGCACAACCGACACACTCGGAGTGATGGGCGTCACATGCTGGCCCACAGCTCCAAACACCTGGCGCAACGGCCCGGTGGACCACGGATTGAAAATGCCTCGGTATCCTGGCGGTGGTGCTGGAGGCACTGGTCCCATGTACCCCAAGAAGGGCGGCGCCGGCGGGAACATGTGCATCTTCCCAACAACCTGCGGTGCTTGTGGTACAGGGCCCATTGGCCCAACCATCGGCGGCGCTGGAGGTCCCATGTGCCCAACATCCGGCACCTGCCCCACCTTGGGCATCGCCTTCACTTGAACAGCTCGGACCGGCGGCCTCAAAGCAACTCGAACCGCAGGCCTTGCAGCAGCTTGAGCAACAGGCCCCGCAGCAGCTGGAGCAACAAGGCTCACAGCAGCTTGAGAAGCAGGGCTCTCCGGAACCTTGGGCATCGCTTTCACCAAAGGTGATCGTTGGGGTGTCTTTGGAACCGCAGATCCAGGCGACACCGGCGTTGTCGGAGGCGTTCCTGGAGGAGTGATAGCTTCCACACTCGAAGACGACAGGCTGATCCGCCTGCTGGCTGGTAACTCCGGAGGAGTCCCAGACTCTACGGCTCCCTCGGGGGCCGCTGAACTCTCGGGGGCACCAAGGGCATCCCCAAGTTGTAACTCCAAAGTAAGCAAACGAACTGTAGCAGCGGCTTGCTCCTGAGCAAGCAGGGCTGCTTGGAGCTCTGCCTCCTTGCGTGCCCTCTGTTGGGGCGTCCACTTCTCGACAGCCACATTGGCGGCTGCCTTCGCCGCTGCCGACGCTCGCTCCTTCTCCGCCAAGTTCTTGCTGGCGGCAACCATCTTGAGCTCTTGCTCCCTCAGCAAAGCCACTCCTTCGGCGGCCTGGTCTCTCTCGCCCTCGTTGTGGTCCTTTTTGTCCTCGGCGACCTGGTCCTTTTCTCGTGCACGGCGCTCCTTGGAGCCTTTCTTCTTCTCCTTCTTCTTGTCCTTCTTCTTCTTCTCCCGAGGAGTCTCCGGTGGTGTCTCGGGCGGCGTCGGGGGTCCAGGCGGCACCACAGGCGTCCCCGGTGGAGGCGGGCTCGCAGGAGGGCCTGGCACCGCCTTCCATTTCCCCCAATCGTCGGCCTCGTTGCCCTCCTGGGTGGGAGCGGGAGGTTCTCCAGAAGGCAAGGCCGGAGAAGTTAGGGAGTGAAATCCCCGGTGGAGCAATTCCTTCGAATCGCATCTGTTCATTGCCACTAGTTCTTCGGCTGCAGCTTCTGCACCAACTGCTGTCGCCTGCTGGATGCCGCTGTCTGCATCGCTCTGAGATCTTGCCATCTCTCGGACATAACCATCATCTGGGCCGGCTCCTTCTCCTGAGCGACCCCTTCCGACGGCATCTGGAGCAAAAGGGCCCTCTTCTTGACACACAGTCCCCGTCGTAACGGAGATGACTCCATAGAGAAAAATCACCCACCGCAAGGCTCGAGACAGAACCGCGGCAGAAGAGATACGTTTATGCTTGCTTTTACGTGTCCCTAATGCACCTGCACTTGCACACTCCGGACGACAGGCAGCTTCCGAAAACCCTGCACACTCACTCCTACAGGCAGTCTCCGAAAACCCTGCGCACTCACTCCTACAGGCAGTTTCCGAAAACCCTGCGCACTCACTCCTACAGGCAGTTTCCGAAAACCCTGCGCAAACCTTCACTGAAGCAGCTTCCGAACCACAGGCTCTCACAGTACTCTGAGGCGTTGGCGGCAAAGGCTCTACACTCACACATGCACTCGCACTCCTACCGCTCCTACGGCATGCTTCGGTGTGTGTGGTGCTTGCTTGCTTAAGCGAAACGGCTGCGGACGAAACACAGACTTCAGAACCTACCACACAACCCGCACACAGCTCTTCAGAACAAACTGCAGGCACTACCTCAGTCTCAGCTGCTACTTCTGCGGCAGAAACACACTCGCACGAAAACTCACTGCAAAAGGCTCGCAACAAGAACTTGAAAGGAGTCACTTCCAAGGCTCTCTGCGGATGCTTGTTCGGATGCGCCTTCTCCTTGGCGCGGTCCACTTCCATTGCATCTCCCGTGTCGTCGTCTTCTTTCCCAAACTTCGGTGGGGTACCTTTGGGCACTCCTGCTTTGGACTTCGCTTTCGCCTTAGCTCTCGCGGGGCCGATCTCCTGGGCCATTGCCCACCAGCTCCTGGCTTCCGTCTCTAAGGGAACCCAAACCCAGGAACCCTTCCCATTCTGCTTCATCAAGCAACTCTCTCCGGGTGTGGCAGTGAACCAAGAACACCAACCCGAAAGCGACGCCTGCCAAGAACTGATCACATTGAAACCAATCTGACAAACCAGGACCTTCTGAAGCACTACAGGCCCTAGCCTCCCAAACTTCACACGGATATCGACCAACCCGAGGCATTCCATCTCGGTGTCGCTAGCACTCATCAAGACAGGCAGCGGTCCCGAATGCTCCTTCACGACTTCGTAAAACGACAAAGAAGCAACAGACAACACGTGGCACGTGGCTCCACTATCAACAAGCCACGCAAAGTGACTGTTCCTCGAAGAGGACTGGTTCAGCTTCTCTACTTCCTTATCCGTCATGGTGAGACGTGGGGGCTCAGCATCATTGGGCTCATTCTTCACTGCTTTCCCTGGGCGCATGCCCCTGAGACGATGAAATCTCAAGGCCATCACTTGCTCCGACGGCTCGTCTTCAACAGCGCGTCCCTTGGACTTCGCTTTCGGCTTCGCCTTTGGCTTTCCCCACTTTCCTTTGTCCTTGCCCTTCTCGCCCTTCTTGTCGCCTTTGCCCTTTCCTTTGGGCTCGCCTCCTCGACCGCCACCACCAGAGGGCTTTCCACCCTTGCCTTTGTCTTTGTCTTTGCCTTTTCCTTTGCCACCCTTCGGTGGTTCAGGACACTGCCAACTGTAGTGACCAGCCTTGCCGCAGTTCCAACACAAACCCTTGTCACCAACAGCGTGAAGGGCTCCAGCGTCGCAAAGCCTGGTCTGTTCCTCAAAGAACCGGATGCTCGTCACAAGCTCTTCCCAAGTTCCAGACTTGCCGTGCAAAACAACGTAATGCCGGCACTCAGGGTTGACAGATTGAAGCAAAATGGTTAGGCGATCTGAGCCGCCGGGCTTCAGCTCCGGAAAACGATGGAGCTTCTGATCCACTTTGCCCAGCTCATCCTCCAAGAACCGGACCACATCAAGTGGCCTCTTGTAGGTTCGGGCTCTGGCAGGCAACTTCAGGGCCTCATCTCTCACTGCAATTGCCTCCATTCTTGAGACAATGCTGAAAGTCGCATGCATTTGCCGCATGACTTCGTACCCACAAGCAGCTTGAGCTTGCCGCATGGACGTGCTTCTCACAAGCTCCATGCCTCTCTCAAACTTCTGCAAACTCTGTTGAAGGTAGTAAAACAACCGAGCAGACCTCGAAGCCACAGGAGCAGACATCTCTGACTGCTTGATCTCCCTGTTGTGCACCATTGCTTGGCGCAACTCGTTGACGTAGTTGTCGTCTATGAGCGCCAACCATGACGCCAAGACTTCACACCAACGGTGGTACTCTTCCAGCTCTTTCACACGCCCTTTCCCCATCGATGGAGCGTCGATGGTGGGCAAAGCAGGGAGGTACTTCTCAGCTCTGTTGCTTCCTACGTGCAACGACGGACCAGCAGACGCTGGAGGTGGAGGAGCAGTAGCTTTAGCTGACGGACTTCCAGCGTCGAACCAAAGGGGTCCGCTACAGCTGCAGAGGCAGCCTCAGCTTCTCGCCTTCTTCTCTCATCTGCGTCCATCCTTGCCATCATGACCTGGAGCGTCTGCTGTTGCATCTGCATCATATTCAGCATCAACTGCTGCAGCTGTGGGTCCAAACCAACTGTCGTCGTCACTGCAGGTGGAACCGGTGCTTGCTGTGGCACTGGCTGCGGTGCCTGCTGCGGTCCAACAGTCGGGACAGGCTGAGGTCCTGGGTTCGACGGCTGACTCGCCTCTCCAGGACTCGGACCAAACAGTTCAAAGTCGTCCTCCTCAGGCACTGGGGTCGCGGCACTTTGGGCAGGGTCAGCCATGGCTTCTCTACAGCTACGAGCGTGCTACACACGCTCCGCTACCATGTGAAAACACAGCAGCAGCGCGCTGAACCCTCTTTTTCTCACGGCTTGAGCCAAAGTCAGCAGCCGGAGGCTTTGTCTGTGCAACTGGCCACAGATATTCCATGTGCCATAGCACTGCAAGTGAAACACTGCTCAGCCACGTGTTCTCCACAACTGCAAAACAAACTCAAACGTCAGTGGGAGTTCTCGGGACCTACTCAAAACTAGCGCAAGCAGAACTACAGCTACACAGTCACTCCAAACGTAGTTACACCAAGGAAAAACACTTCCCTACACTCTCAAGCACTTCAAAAGGCTTTCCACTGAAAGCAAGCTCGTCAGTCAAGCCTCCAAGGCAAAACTTTCAGCTAAAACGACTCACACCTGAGCAGGCATGCAGGACAACCAAAGTAACATATCTTAAACATGAACTTTCACATGTTCAGAAATGCGAGAGTCAGCTCTGGACAAATTTCCCTGTCTTTGTACGATTTCTTTTTTGGTTACCTCCAAAGCTGCACAGTTATGGGGCTGTCGGGCGACCCCATTCTAAGGCCCGCAGAACACAAGCAATTCTGGCTTCGCCAGGCCCCAATCTGCCATTGCAGCGGACAGATCGATGTCATCCGCCGAAAAGGTGGCTGCGAGACGCACCCCAGACTGACTCTGACGGCATAAGGCCTTACCAACTCACTTTTACGCCAGGCAGAAACTGATCCGACGCCAGGATGCGGGCGAGTGGACGTTCTTATGTACCCAATGACACACATATGGAGACCCTGCAAGGTTCTCTGGAAGATTGCCGTGCGGCATTGGGAGCGGTGCGCGGCGCGCTCCGCACGTCCGTCTGTCATAACAGGAGTAAGACGTCAGCAGCACCTGACCTGGGGATCTGTCCTTGGCCCATGTGCACCATCGCTGCCGTGTTGATCGGAGTTGCAATGGTTAGTGGCAAGCCATGGCCACGCTATCGGAACATCTAGTGGCGCCAATCATCCTCTGTGCCTCCGAACAGTCGATATACCGGTGCTCTTTGGAGCCCCACCGTTTGCTGCTACCCGGCAGGCACTTCGTGCCATTGGTTTACAGGAACGCAGGGCTGCTGGCCTCGTGCTCCGTCATAGGTTTCAACTCGTTTGATTTGGGTGCTTGAGACCGGAGAAGCGGGACAGACACAGCTTCAAGCTTCATGCGCAGTTTCTGAACTGTGGAAACATGCGGACAAGTGGGATCCTGCACGACAGATGCTGTGAAAATCCTGTAATCTTGTATGTTCTGATGTTTTGGAATGTCTGAAGCTGTGAGAAGCTGTTGAGTTGGGTCAGTGACTGCACTCGTTTCGTTTCGTTTTGCTTGGAAGGGTTTGCTTGGAGGGGGCATGAAGTCTCCTACGAGAATGCTAAAGCCGCGAACAAATGAACCGCCCAACCCGGGTTCTAGACTCCCCCCCAGACTTCGAACGGGGTTCAAACACCAACAATCACAAAAACGAGAAGAAGCCGCAAAACAAAAGCAATTCTGGTTTCGCGAGGTTGCTCTCCACAGATTTACGGACTCTTCATGCTTGACGGGTAACTTAAACGCACACAGAATCGCTTTGTGGGGGGGTTTTGCGAAGAAAATAAACTGCGAGCACACTACAATGACAGAAACAAACTTAAACGCAAGCACAAATAAAAGAAGAATTTGCGAAGAAAGTAAAATGAGAGAACAAGAAGCAATGATACAAGAGTTCGAACTCTGGGTTCGGAAACTCCATGTTCGATCCGGATTCGGAAACCTATGTTCGAAACCTGGGTTTCAACTTTGTAGGGCCGCCAGATTTCGAACCGGGGGTTCGGAAACTCAACGTTCGAACTCTGGATTGGGAACTCTGTGTTCGAACCCTGAGTTGAAACTTTCGGGCCGCAAGAGTTTAAACCCTGGGTTCGGAAACTCTATATTCGAACTCTGGGTTCGGAAAAATAAAAGAAGAAGAAGCCACACAAAATCGCTTAAGGGGGTTTTTGCGAAGAAAATAAAATGAGAGAACAAGAAGCAATGATACAAGAGTTCGAACTCTAGGTTCGGAAACTCCATGTTCGATCCGGATTCGGAAACCTATGCTCGAAACCTGGGTTTCAACTCTGTAGGGCCGCCCAGATTTCGAACCCTGGGTTCGGAAACTCAACGTTCGAACTCTGGATTGGGAACTCTGTGTTCGAACCCTCAGTTGAAACTTTCGCGCCGCAAGAGTTTAAACCCTGGGTTCGGAAACTCTATGTTCGAACTCTGGGTTCGGAAACTCTATGTTCAAACCCTGGGTTGCAACTCTTCGCCTTTAGAACAAACAGCTGAATGCTAGTTGCAGTCCAGGACGCTGCGACTCTGCTTTTGGCTCTGTTGGTCCTGTCAGTTCGCCACAGCTCAGCAAGCAGCCTAAACTGCACTTACAGCTCAGCCAGCAGCCCAGATAGCAGCCCAGATTGCACCTGCAAGTGCCTCAGTGCAAGCGATGGAAGTGTTCCAGCTGCTGCGTCTGGAACGCCTGTTCAGCTTCCGGTGCCGCCAATGCCCACTTCGGTGCGAGCCAACTGCAGCACATGCGGCTCCAAATGTGGGTCGAATAATCTAAGCAATTTTGGCGGCCCCCCTCTGTTTCACCCAGGTTGAACCCAGGTTTTGAAACCCAGGTTCTAACCCAGGTTTGGAACCCGGGTTTAATGAACTCAGGTTTAACCCAGGTTGTTAAACCCAGGGTCTAAACCCAGGTTTGAAACCCAGGTTCTAAACTCAGGTTTGGAACCCAGGTTTGAAACTTAGGTTCTAACCAGGTTTGGAACCCAAGTTTGAAGCATTCAGGTTTAACCCAGGTTAAAATCCAACCCAGGTTTGAAACGCAGGTCCTAACCCAGATTTGGAACCGGTTTGAAAACCCAGGTTTAAAACCCAGGTTATATAACCCAAGTTTGAATCCGGGTTTGAAACCCAGTTCTAACCCAGGTGTGAAACCCAAGTTTGAAGCATCCAGGTTTAATCCAGATGGGAAAACCCAGGTTAAAACCCAGGTTCAAACCCACATTAAACCCAGAAGGGCTTCAGGCCCAGGATTGGTTTGAAGAAAGGCTTAAAGAAAGGCCTATGTACTGCGCCGTTGACCATTCGCAGCGTTCACCGGCCCTAGAGAGAAGCTTCGATCTCTAGGCGCGAAATCATGGGGTTCATGCTGTGTTTGGACCGCAATTCGCGAACCCAAAGTTTGTCTCTTCGTTCCTAGGCTCTCAGATGGCAGCTCTCGAATTCTGCAGGCTCCAAAGTGTAATGTTCCAGCAGATGGAATGCTTCGGGGAAGACTGATTTGCAGAGTTCCAGCCAGACTGCCCAGAACGGTCTGTCTGTGTCATCCTGGAGCTAGTTCCACCTGGCGGATAAAGCGGGCTGGTCCCAGAGGGTGAGGTTGGAATCCAGGTTGAACCTGGGTTCCAAACTTTTTCTTTCTTTCAGGGCAGGTTCGGAAACTGGGTTGAACCTGGTTTCCGGAACTTGGATTTCGAAACCCAGGTTTGAACAACAACTTTTTCAAGACGGAGTTGTTCAAACCCAGGTTCGGACCTGGGTTCAGAACCCAGGCTCGAACCCAGGTTTGAACCTGGGTTGAACGTCAGGTTCAACCTGGGTTCTAACCTGGATTCAACTTGGGTTTGGAACCTGGGTTGGAATCTGGGTTGGAACCTAGGTTGGAACCTAGTTGGAACTGGGTTGGAAACAGGTTGGAACCTGGGTTGAAACCTGGGTTACAAACCTGCGTTAAACTGGGTTTCAATCTGCATTAGCAGGACGTTTTTGAAATCGAAGAAGGTTGCCCAGTTGGATTTTGCGGCCTTAATGTGTCTCTGAATTCTCATGTTTCTACTTCTGTTTTCTGTTTGACCCCAAGCAATTTGCATTTGTGGGTCTGTTCATAAATGCAATCCGCCCAGAGCGACCACTGTCCTGCTCTCTGAAAGCGACGAAGCATCCGAATGGACAAAGTGCGCTTTCCCGACAGGGTACGACACCAAACAGACGTGGTAGCTGGCGGACACCAGAAGAGTCGCTGTCACATCACACGCCAGAGCCTGTCCCAGCATCTACGACGTGCTGAGGCAGCTCGGTATCGGCTAAGTGCTTCATCCAACTGTTTGTAGCGCTTGGCAAATTGTTCTGTCGGATTTCGGATTTCTCAAACTCTCTCTTAGGCGATTTTGTGTGGCATCTGCTTTTATGTTGAAAGAAGGCGTCTGTTCCACGTTTTTTGACATTTTTTCGCTTTGTACGGTTTGGGTTTGGAGTTGAAGGTTTACGGTGGCGGCTTTAAAGATGCAGAGAGTTTGCAATTTGCAGAAAGCGGGGAGTTGGAGGGCGCAGCTCCCCCCATTGAGCTTTTAAGTTCAGCTTCGCTGAACGCTTTTATGCGGCCTTTGTGTGTCTTTGAATTTTCATGTTTCTGCTTCTGTTTTATTCGTCCTTAAGCGATTTCGTGTCGAAGAAGGTCCTCCTTCAGGTCTCTTCCTCAGAAGAACGGCATCAGAGCGCTGCAGTTTTGTAGTGGTGACATGTGGCGACTAGATTTCCCTCTTCTTCATTTCTGTTGCTTACGGGACGCAATGCGTTCGACCGTCCGACTGCTGCAGTTTTCCGCGATGATGGCTGTGAAGCTTTTCTGATGTTTGCTGGGCGGAACGTGGATCAACGCCACATGACCTCCCTCGGCACTCGTTTACTTCATTGGTGCGTGTCATGGCCATCTGGCCATGCAGCTTCAATGAAGCTCTCGGATATGCCGAAGGGAGTGCGAAGTCAGGTTCCAATGTCTGTTTTCTGGCTTTTTAATTGGACTGATTGACTGAGTGGAGCGCGTATTAGGGCCTTTTTTCCGCTTGGTCCATCGCTTCTGCACTGCAGTCGTGTCCGGCAGCCGACCAAGACCAACGGGGATAGCAGCTTTGCATTTGATGGCCATTGTGCGACTCTTGATAACGGGAAGCGGGGCCATGCCTTGTGCTTTGCCATTGCGCGACCCAAGATTTCGGGAAGCAGAGCCAGTGAGCCCAGCAGATCCGATTGCACATCAATTAATGCTGAGCGACTTTGCCGGCTACGTCTGTATGTCGCAGCCACCTTGTTTCACTTGTCTGTATGTCGCAGCCACCTTGTTCACTTTGTACAGCTCTTAGTTGTTTCATATTCTTACTTTCTTGTTTCTTCTAGGGACCGAGCGCAGCAGCCGCTGTCACCGAGGCCCATTCACGCCAAAAAAAATGATTCTGGGCCACGGAGAGTCCAAGGTCGCTGAACAGACTCAAGAGTGCCTGTGCAAGGAATCTGAACCATCTTTGTTACCGAGTTTTCAGCCTGTTGTGTCAGCATGGCCTGGGCTCCGCACGGTCTCTCTCCTGTCACCTCTTAATCTGGAAGCATTGAGCGTGAACCCGTGGCGAGCTGTTTCAGAATCATTTCAAGAACCACCAGGCACAAGTTTTCATCCAAGCCGTGCGTCAGCCGGTCTCCAATACCACGCAATTGGCGCGGGGCAGCCACTGTCCAAGACAATGAGTTGAGTCCGAGACAAGGAAGGCTTGCTGATCTGGAACCGAGCGCTGCACGCAGCCACCGAGGCCGCTGACGCCAAGAAAAGTCTCTAGCCACCGGTACCACGGCGCGACCTGTCTGGCTTAAGTGAGCTTTTGACAGAAAGCAGGCGCCGCTGCCGGCACCAACTGCAAAAGCGGTGGCACCGCCAGCACACCTGCAAAATCCAAAATGCGCCTGCCGGTGCCGCAGCACAACTTCAGAGATGTAGGATGTCGTGATCAGAAACTGTGCAGATCTGGCCTGTGAGGCCAAGAGACACCACAGCTTCAACTGTTAGATGCGTGTAAAAATCCGGAAGTGGCCCGGCAGCTTTCCATCTGCCAGCCTTTCCGCATCACTAGTCTTTGCAATGTTTCCCCAGCCCAAACTCCAACAGAATCAGCTGTTTCTATTTCTTTCCCTTGTTGCCGCATCTTGAAGCACATTTCGGCAGCAGTACTCGCAGGAAAGAGTGGTGTGTGAGCAGTCAAGAAGCGTAGTTTCGTTGAGATTTCACTTGTTGGGTTTGAGGTTTTCGGGTTTCGCGGTTTTGCTTCTTGCGTCGTCCATAACTTTGTTTTGGCCGGTTGTTAATCATGTGGTTTCCTCGTTGTGGTGACAACCTCTTTGCTTTGACAAGAACCCAGTTTTCGACCCTCGAAAACCATACCGGAAACCCCAAAGCGACCCCGCCCACAACACAGCAGTGAATCCCAGGCTTTGAGTGCACCAACGTGTGACGCAGCTGGACAGCAGGCTTCTTCCTCAAAGCTTGTTAGGTTGTGGACAAACCCTATTGTCTCTTGGCCCGTCTTGTATTGAAAACCTGGAGATTGTCTTGGCGTCGGCACAAATTCCGAGTAAAGTCTCGTGGAGCCCGAGCAGCAAAGTAGGCCAAAAGGAAATTGCGAAGCCGTGGAGCGTAAACCAAAGGGTCCAACTAAAACACATTGACAACACCCAACGGTGTTGAAAAATGCAAGTTGTCCCTGATCTTGCTGTTGCATCGAGTTATCGCTGCATTAGAAACCTGGTGAATTGAAGTTTTCCTTTGCTTATGAAGTTTAATTAGCATGTGGGAGAACGTGTTGCATATTGGTGCATGTTTCGGCTCAGTTTAATTCGTTGCTGCTATTTTGAGGCAGGTCGGCATGATGCATTTGAACGATTTGTTCGACGAAGTTGACCTGCAGGCCTGGCTGTTTCTTGGATGTGCCGAACAGGGACAGCCGAAGGCCAGCAAGCTTCGTGCGCTTGACGTGCGAGCAGCTTGCAGTAAGATCTGCGCGGGCATGTTTTGCTGAGCGCTCGCCAAAAACATGCACATTTGCTCCACGTCCCGATCGGATAGTGCTAAATGTTCTGAGCTTTGTGTGCATGTCCCTATTCCGATGGCATTTGGCGTATAAAGATGCCATGCCTCGGCCATGGCCAACTTTGCCGGTGAGCTTGTGCAAAACCGTGAAAGGCACCGGGGTGGCAAGCAGAGACTGACCAGAGCGACGATTTCCAACATGCTGCTTACGTCGTTTTGCTTCTCTCCTCCCAGACATGCGACATGCATTGCCGACTGTCTTGTGTCCATTTCAGTCCCAAGCGACATCCTCCATCGAAGAAACATCAGTGCATGACGTGATGATGCGGAGTCGCGGAGGTGTTTTGCAGAACTTAGACGTGCCCGGCGAGCTTACAGCAGAGACCTGGAGCGGAACGAGTCAGAGGCCGAGGGAGGTCTGACAGACACAAGAAGCTGAGCCGGACAGCCTCCTTTATGCCCTTACGAGTAGCTGCATCAGGGTATCAGAGAACATGTCTAACACAAAGGCCGCCAGTTGGCAAGGAAGCCAGCTGCCAGAGCTTTCTGGGATTGTGGCTCGTTGTAGGTCCTAGCCGATCCGACATCGGCGCGGGCACGGCAGGATACTCAGCCAGAGCAGCTCCGAGCTCTGATTCAGGCGCGATGCGGTGCACTAGCCCAGGAGCTACCGAAACTTGCAGAAATGAGCAGAAATCTTGCCTTGCAGGTTTGTCGATGTGATGACTTGCCAAGTGCAGAGGTGGTGATCTACCTTGCTTTCCGCGGTACTGCCTTTTGCCAGCCAGCTAGACTTCTATTGCTTCGGTCCATGCTGTGGCGGGAAGGCACTGCTCGGATTTCGTCTTGACCACTAAGGTCAATCAAGACAATCTCGTCACCGATTTGTATGCGGAGTTAGTGCCGTGGGATATCGGGGACGCGGTTATATCCACTGCTCGAGTGCATCGTGGATTCCAGGAGACGAAGAGAATAAGTTAGTGTGGGCGGTTGTTGTGGCTGTTGCCAAAGCTGCGACAGCAGTTGCCGGAAGCTTCGTTCTTTGCCTGCCAGGATGCATACAGGGCGCTCAGATCTGGAGTTCTGGGAAGGCGCTCACGCTGACACCTCCCCTCACCCACTCCGTTGCTTTACGAGATAAACAAACCTGCGGTCAAAATTTCAAGGTGACTGCTCGATCCCCTTCTACAGCCCATCCCATCACTTGCAGACTGGCAACCACAGGTAATCGCTCGTGTATACTGCGTGCGTGCATACTCAACACAAATGCTCGTGCACGTAGACCCGAACTAGCTGAGTAGGCTGGATGCAGACCTGGCGAAGTTCAACGTTGCTGCCAGCAGGGTGCTTCTACGGGCGACTGGTCACAGCCTTGGTGGGGCCCTTGTACCTCGGAGCACAAAGAGTTACGCAGTCTTAGTTCCTGAAGTTATACACGGTAAAGGGTTTCAGGGATGTGGCTTGAGCCTGTCGGCCAGGCCATGCTGGCTTGCCGTGACCTCTGCTGTGTTCGACTGAAGCCTCATCCTGAGACGAGTTCTTGGCGCTTGGTTCGATCACCTCAGGCCTGGACCTAGCAACATGTCGAGGTTTCGCTGCTTGACCAGACCCAGCATGGAACGCCACGATCCAGGTTTAAGTTTAAACCTGTTCACGGACATCTGGTCTGATCATGCAGAATGTGTACCACGAATGTGCGCATGGTCTTATGTGTTGTCTATTTCTGCGGCGGGTACACGGGTACGCCTCTCATGAAGACGATGACCGCCTTTCTGTGCTGTCGTCCGGTTCTAGAGCTGATGTTGGCCGTTCAGCATGTGAATGTTCTGCCAGCCACTTAGGAAGCTGAGTGTGCTACCTGGGGGTCTCCTCGAGTGGGAGATGCAAGCTTCGCAGCCCTCTATGCAAGAAAGGTTCCGCGTACAGCCAGGTTTGTGAACAAGCCCCTTGGTTTGGGCGAAAGTAGGGTTGCGATGCTGCTTCTGCAGTTGCTTGATCCAAGCAGAAATGGCACTCCCGTGGACCTTGTGTCAGGTTCGACCTGGTGCCACGGCTGCCAGCACACTCGGACGATGCGGCGGGAGTCGATACTTTCTCCCTGACTGGGGGGCAGTTCTGTGCTACAGGATCTGGGGCCGTAGGGATTCCTTGGAGCGGCAGGTGGCCAGTCGTGGCCGGCGTCGAACTCCCATGGATGTGCTGCATGATGTGCAACTTGATTACGCAAAAGACCTGACGAGGCCTCAGGCTTACCACCTGCTTTGCAGTTCTTTTCGTGTTTCACTGGAGTTGCACACCCTGACCCCAGACACAACACTTAAATCTGCCTGGTAGGTTTCGATTTGATAACAAAGCATGAGGCTGTATGGACTGCTCACAGAGAGTCATGCTTCCAAGGCAGAAGCACATTGGTGCTACAGGCTACATCCACGCTGGTTCTGTGGTGGAGCGGATCTGACCATAGAGCCTGCGCATCACATTGACAAGTGCTCGCGTTGCGCCCACGACCCTCTCCAGTGAGTGGGGTGAATTGTACAGGATCAGTAGACACTAGGCCCTTTAGAGTCGAGTGTGTTTAGCTGAAACGGGTAGGGTTGCATCATCACGAGTCGTGACGATGACTTCGGTCGCGAGATGTGCAGCGCTTTGCGTTGCGTTCAACTCGAAGTCGTCGTCCGCCTGACTTATTGCAAGCCCTCGGCTAGGGTTCACCAGAACATGTCCCAGCAAGGCATGCTTGACAGGAGCTTGACAGTGGCCCACTGGCATCGGTCCGGCGAATTACCAACACAATCGGCATGCTGAGAGCCGGGCAACTTGACGGGAGTTGGGCAAGAGAGGGTATCGGTTCACAGTGGCAATGTGCGCAGGGCGTGGAAATCGTTGAAAATTGCCGGTCAACTTTATACATTCTAAAGCGGCCCGGGCAATGATCTTTCGGCGACTTAGTCATGAGCAGGTATTCCAACTTTCGAGCAGCTGCGCCAGGCAAGGCGGTCAATGTGATGCGTGCAGGTGATGTGCTGTCAGTCTCCATCGAGGAGAATATTCCCTGTAGGAGGCATGACATGTGCATTCGTGCAGTTTTTGCACACTGATCGGTGGTGTACAAGCTGAGTGCGTGACCGAGCAGTGTGGAAATGGAACGGTTTTCGTACCAGTGCCTCTGTGGCAGGTGATCTTGCAACCGTGGCCATGCGGGAGCTTTGTGTAGCTCGTGAAATGCTTGTGGCAAGTTTCAGATTTCAGTTTCTTGCAGCTCTTGATCACGAATGGCTGCCTGTCATCTTGAGTTCCTTTGCAGAATTCTTTTGCTGTGGAGGAGATTTCCAATGCCGCGCATGCACTGCTCCCACATGGGACGCTTGAATTTGATCAGCAGACTGTGGGGAAGTTTCACGGTGACGAGTGACGACCTAGTTCAGTTCCTGCGGTCTTTCTGCAATCTTCGTGCCACGTGTGCGTTATACGAGATGAGCAAACGTCGTATGCATATGGAGCGAATCATGTATTTCGTAGGCAAGAATGCGTGCGGCATATCGCTGTTCATGCATCGAGTTCGAAACCATGCTAGGATTCAAGTCAAATTCCTGCAGTCTGATATTAATCCCGAAGGCTGGATGCGTACGAAGAAAAACTGGAGTTCTTCCTTCGCGATCAAACTTCTGCTGGCGCTGCAAGTTCACCTGGTTGACGACTCCGACGTGACGATGCCGTGGGGCAAGACTTGCGGGGAACATGCGCACCAAGTGGCTGCTGATGGGATCATCCGTTTGGTCTAATGGTCTCTACTTCAAGATCGCCTTCATAAAGTGCTTTGGGAGAGCTCTTGCAGCGCTTCTCCCAGGACTTGACTCGAGACAGTATTGTCGCATCAAGACGAGTGGATGCTGCTGTGAAGTCTGGTTACACGGCATCTGCACTTACCTCTGGAATGCATCAGTTTGGCTGCTGTTTGCTGTCGTCGAACATCCTGACGACGAGCTGCATCTTGCGATGAGAGGGCTGTCCAAGGATTTCCTCAGGGCTGTCAGCCATACAGATGCAGTCGAAAACGGGATGGACGCAGCATGCCTGACCGGTGCCTTTCGGAAAGAGTAGTTCGTGCTTTCCACCAAGATGAAGCCACGCAAAACTTGCTCTTCCTTTGCGCTAGGCGCAAACGCGCGTACGCACCAAAGGCCATGGCCCGGAACTGAGACGGGAATTTCAAGTAGCGCATCGGGCATCTAGCGGCTGTTGAGCTTGATCCGGCTTCGAGTTAGAGTCCGCAGCCAAAGATCTCTTTTCATTTTGCCGAAACCAAGGTGCGGGGTGAATCTGGGTGGCTGGCTTTTGCTCGAGCCTGGTCCATCGGCGCCTCTCTTTCCAGGCCTGCTTGCCACAACAACTTGGCGCTTTGAAGTAGGCACCAGTGGTTCTGCAGGCGAGCCGCAGCTCCGCTGCGAATGGTCACTGATGGAGTCTTTGAGGAGTCGTCAGGCCTTCGCATTCACAGCATCGTCAGCCTCTTGCGCAGTGTAATATGGAAACAGGCCTTGCACGTCCTTCATCGTCACAGAGAAACATTCATCCGCAAAGAGGACTGCCTTCGGCTGATTGAAGAGTGGTTGGGGTCGTCTGACAGAAGCTCCATTCCAGGCCGCTCAGTGTTGTAACCGTGCGCAGGACTTTCGGGCGATCCGCGACATGGGGCTCAACTCCGTGAGGGTGCATCGGGGAAAACAAAACAGAGCAGTGCAATTCTATAAGGGCAATGCCATGCAATGCGCTGGGGCAGGTGCCCTTTGGCTACTGGATCGTCCTCGGCCCCGAACCTGGAGAACCGTTTGTGGCTCCTCGTCAACATTTTATCTGATTGCCAACTAAGCTCGCACAAAACTTAGTGAATGTATCGCATGCGGCATTCATCATCTCAGCTCGACGCTTTGCTGAGGGGCCAGCTCTCGATATTCTGGACCGTGCTGTCGAGTGGGCTGAGGAGTGCAACCTTGAGGTCGGGACCAACCCCAAAGTTCGTAGCAGCAGCGCAGAAGGGGAGAAGGGGGGGCCGGCCTCAAACTGTTTGCCATGAAACTGCACAGTTGCACAGGTGCTGCTCGATCTGCACGGCTGCCCCGGTGGAGAAAGCTCGGACCCATGAACTATGCACACCCATGCACTATGCACGCTAGATGGACATCGCTGAATCGCGAGCGCGGCATTTCTCCAGGTCCGGACGCTCCATGTGGCCGGCGGCAGCGGCCAGAGTCGAAGTGGGTTCGCGCCTTTCTGTGTTCTAGCATGGCTCCCCACCCAGGCCGAACGCTTCATCCCTAAACCACTGCACAAATTTATGTTCATGCTGCCGAAAAAGCGCCGAAGTACACGATTCCCGCTGAGAGCTTTGCGGTCCCAGGCATGGCAACAGTGGCGAAGGGCGGAGACGCTGAAAGCTCTCGAGGTCGGACTGTCCCTTATAATTTCTGCTCGCATCAACAGGCAACAGCCATTTTCACACTCGTCCGAGAGGCATGCAATGATTGTCTACTTGGGTTGTTCCCAGATGATGTAGTCTTTTTTGTGGTGAGTACTAGGGTCTAGTTGTTATTTGATGGCAAGGTTGTTTCCAAGCGATACAGCGGCAGGAAATGTGCCGGAAGCCCAGCACATGTCAGGTACGTTTCAACGTCTTCAGACGCCACGTCCGAAAGAGATGTTAGAATGGCAAGTGCATTAAGGAATCGTGCTCAGGCTTTGTCTGCATCATGCGGCATGCCAGGTGACAGGCATTGCCGTGTGCAACGAGCCATCACGTCTGATTCCCGCAGACATCCTCGCTAACTTCTACGACGAGGCAGGCCGGAGTCAGGGCAGTCCGACTTCACGATGGAACGTGTAATGAAGGCTGCATAAGATTGCATGCAGCAGAGTCTGAATAAGTCTGAAGCCCCTGTTCTCCGACCTTGACGTCGCGTCCAGCAAACTAAATGACCTCGAACATGCATCCCGTGGTCCCACAGGCAGGGAAGACAAGAGTGCACACATGGTCGCGTTCCATGCCCTTGAAAAGAAGGATCTCCTCAGCTTTGTTGTGCTTGATGGCTGGCGGGAGTTGCTACGTCGCCTCATTGGAGAGGTGACAGTGTGCACCACTTTTCTACCATCTTGCATCATTCGTTCCAATGTCAAGCATCGCAACGGCAAGCCCGCAAGCGAATCGAGATGCCACTGCTTTGCCAAGCGAGAGAGTGTGGGGTAGTAGAAGTACTTCGCAGCACATGCTTGAGGCAGTTGACGTCATTCGCAAGGCTGGCATGACAGACAGGGCCACCAGCCATGTTTTGAAGGCTAAGAAGACTGTGCTACGGGATCTGTAACCACAAAGTGCTTGAAATGTCACCCGTGTTGCATGCATCCTGCATGTGGAGTCAGATAAGTCATGTCTTGCTTAGGGCAGGTCAGGCCAAGTAAGTAGTGTGTGGGCTCCTTGATCTGCTGCTCCTCTGGCTCAAGAACGTGGAAGTCACCAGGGTGGTCCGAGAGCAAACCGGATTGCATTTGGGAACATCAGGGTAACGGTCGTGTCAACGTGCCTTTTGTCAGTTGGAGCTTTGTTGGGCACTCAGGTTGGGGCCATGACAGCCGAAGATGCAGACATGGAGGTGACTTCGCCATCAGTCCAGATACATGATTGTCGCACTGGTGCCGAAGCTTTAGCAACGGCCCGAAGCAGTGCCTCAAGAACTTCCGGTAATAGCCTTGAAGAGCCAACTGGCAGTGTGTACTGCCCCGAAAGGATGCTGGTGCTGGTACACGTGAGCGCAGCCGGACACCGCCTCCTGAGGGAAAGGCCGAGCGGGAGTGAAACGATGTCCGAGGTCACAGCGATGTCGGTTTCTGGCCAGCAGATGCGTCGCCGGAGCATAGTCCCCGCAAGTGAATCAGATTGAACCCTGCAGGGCAAGGACCCAGAAGTTGAAGTGGAAGAGACAAGAAGGAAGCGACCCAGAAAAGGGCAGCTTGTCAATGTTCGGACGGTTGTCGTGGATGGCTTTTCTTTACAAAAAGGGGGTCCGACGTGGAGGGCTTGCGATCCAAATCTACCTCAACAGCTATGAAGGCAAGCACGAATATGATCGGCTCCACTTTCAAATGTCACACTGTGAGATAGCTGAACCAAGGAAAGCTCCGAACGAGAGGAGTCCCGAAGAACAGGAGGCAACGCATCGTGAGGGGAGAAGGGGCTCCATTGCAGAGCTTGACTGCAGTTGGTTCCTCTTCTCGCAAGGCTCTTCCTCGCTGTCGCAAGGAAGTCCTTTAATTCATGGTTCTTATGGACCCCCTTCTCAGGAGATGGCCCGCATGGAGGCAGAATGGGCGGCAGAGACGGCAAAGAAACGTGCAGCAGCAGAAGCCGCAGCAACCTGGCAACTTCCAGTCCAAGTCACCTTGGCGTCCTCGACCTGTTATTCATCCAAGGCAAAGCGGCTAATGGCCAGCAAGCGATATGACCCTCCCTTGTTTCGAGATGCGGATGGTGATTTGGCCGGGCTCCCCGTGCGGCTCTTGCTGTTAGATCGAACGCCATGTTGTCAATTGCAATTGCACTGCGCAGGCGAACGAGTTTTGGGTAGAGCTTCCTCATGCAAGAGGATCTGCGATGTTAAAGCCTGCACGGATATGTTTCTACAGTAGTTCAATAGTTGACCAGGTCAGGTGCAGCATGCTTATGCTTGCAGGAAGGATGTCGTTGGTAGCTGAAGACGATCTTCACGAGGTCCGTTATGAGTAGCATGAAGGAAGGGCATTCCGTCTTCTTGCTCAACAAACAGAGTGCTCATGTGCGCAGGTCTACAAACCATAAGGAAGTCTCAGGGCTGCACAGGCACGGTTCCTGAAAGTCAGAGCTCTCCCGTCAGTTCCAGCCCATTCACTGTGAATCTGACACCGGCAAGAACTGCCTAGACTTACTCAGCGGAGAGATGCATGCCTGGACATCGCTGCATCGAACGGTCTTAACCAAGACGACGAGAGCACGATGAGAGCGCGCGAGAGCTACGAGCAATGTCAACCAGAGTGCCACCATATCTCAGCCCTTGCAAGGCGTTCTGAGGGAAGCCAGTTTTTGTTCGATGATCGAAGCTTTTCCGGTCGCCATATCAGCCATTTGTGAAAGTTCTTGAATACAAGGGAAAGTATATCGTATAACAAAATCAGTGCACAGACAGAGGGCGGAGGCGCTCGGTTGCCAGTGACATGCGATGCAGCTGTGTCTGAGACACAGCCAGACGGCCGCGAGATCTATAGCTGGCTTTGGGGGGTTAGCTTCACTTCTAGGACCTGGGGTAAGCAGTAAGCTGAGACAAATCCTCAGGTCTCTCGAACGTCCTGTGCGGAGGGCAGATGATGGGACTGCGCTTTTCTAGCTTTGGGTGAATTCCGTGTAAAAAGCAGTGTCGCTTGCCGCCGTCCCTTTCGCCATCTGCATTGATGCAATCGGTGAAAGGCATGCTAGACGCGGATTCGGCAGTGATCGGGTCTCACTGTGCGATCAATGAGATTGAATTCCAGGGTCTACGAGTAAGTCCTTTCCGACCCAAGCTCCGAGTCTGCGAGATTGCCATTTGCCGCACCCAAAAGGGATTTGGGTTGTAACCCTTTTGGCCAAACTAGACCTCCACCTGGGTTGAGCATTCCTGAAACTCCTTAGTCCTGGAACTCGACGGGTCATGGTGAATTACTACCCATGGACAGATTCGCAGAGTCAAGAGAACTGTGGCGTCTCTGACACATCCGGGATCTGCAATTACCAGCCCAGCATTCAGCAGAGACCGACGCAAGGAAGGATCAGAGAAGCTGGTAGCTGCAGTGCACCCGAATTAGCAGGTCACCCAGCCTGCAACGAGACTTCCAACCTAAGTCCGACGCTACGAGGCAACACAGCTTTGGACCAGTGCTCCTAGAGATCTGGCCTTCTCTTTGCTTGCAGCTCGTGTCTTACTCTCCTGCATAGCTGGATATCACGATCAACCCAGCACTTGCATTTGCTTCCTCTTCATTGCTGCAAAGGTTTTGGCTGGGGCGACGGGATTTGAGCTGCAAAACAGATCTTAAAACAGCAGACAAATGGCAAGTTTCGAAGCTGAGAAAGCATGACAGGTCACGGTGGTGCTTCCGGTCTTCCAGCGGTGTCTCAGAACGCAGCTTGCCGAAGTTGAAACCACGTTTGATTTTGTTGCGATTTTTTCCGCGCATGCAGCATCTCAGCATGCGTACCCACCACCTGGATCACAGTTCTTTGCCAACGTGCATGATGTTCCCTGCAGTTAGTCAGGTCAACTTTTGGCAGATAGCATGCCGTGCAACTAACGTTTTCGATCTCAGTGAGATTGAGATCCCACCTGGCTGAACCATAAAAGTCTAAGGCCTCAAACTAAAGCCTGAGTCAGATAGCCGTTTGATGTGTGTGTGTGTGTGCGCCGTCTGCCGTTCTCCATCGTCATGCTTTCCCTTGTCATCTCGAGGTTTGAAGCGGTGTCAAGCCCTCATTTGTGCCAGTCATGCAAGGGTCAGTGTAGGATGTGTCGACCCCTGTGCAGTTCACATGAAGCCATTCAGTTCATGGGTGGGTGGCGTTGTAGATCAATCAACATGTGTGCCGAGCAAAGGTGGCGTCAGGTTTCAAAAGGACGACACAGCAACACCTGCTTCGATGCTGCTTGCTTAGTCAGGTACTGTCCAGTGTGAGCTTGGCATGTCTCGTTTAGCCGGTAGCCTGACTAAGTTGACGGTCAGGTTCACTACTACCACTGCTTCGAAGACGCATGGAATCGCATGACCCTTGCAGAGGCCTTGAGAAGAAACGCAGACCCTTTTGCCCGCTCATGGATTTCTGGATCTAGTGGCGCCTGGCAGCACCTCCGGGCCGTTGAAGACCACGGCCGTGAACTCCAAGAGCCACTCCCTCGGTGCCTCCAGTGCGGGCGAAAGCAAGCGAAGATGGATGCATGGAGAAGTGCTTGAGCCAGTTTGTTTTGGATGATCTCGCAGTCGTGCATAAACGACTAAGAGGTCCGAAGGCTATGCTCCCGTGCACAATAGTTTCGGAACAGACCCGGCCGAAGCAGCTCCGGGGAGAGTAATGAGAACCGACATTTTTGTTGAAGCAATGCAGGAAAGATGCCAATACCTTCCTGCATGGCATCTGGTACACACGACCCTCAAGCTACAATGTCTTCAAATCCAACTGCGGCAGCCGTCGCTCAACAGAGCAGAAGGCAGTTGAAAGCCCCGGAGAAGAAGTCGTAGAATCGTAGAAGGTAGGTCGTGTATAGCCTTCGCATATCCTGCACACTGTGCCGTCGGAGGTTTCCTGCCGTGGTTGGAGAGCCGCTCGGAAGAAGAGCTGCCCAGTCAATTGCCCATAGCATCCACAGGAAAGCACACCAGGTGGAGCCTCGCACTTGGCGGCCGCGCTGCCTCAGCGATGTGTCCGAAAGAGGCGGCTGGACTGCCCACGACATAGGTGGCGTGGACATTCCGGGCTTGCTTATTCGCTTCTGCTGGCAGTAGCATGCAGTAGCACCACAGGTATGCAATCTGCAACACCTGTGACATGTGTCAGGCCATGAACCTTTTTGGCAGGGCGCAGCTTCAAGCTTACTCGAAGGCTTGATGGATGTGAGCTCATTGATGCAGAGTTTCTGTAAGGTCTTCGTGATCGTTAGTGATTGGCGTGCTCCATGATTTGAATGCTGGCGTTGCGTTGCCCGAAAATTTGAATTGCTTGGGTCAAAAGTCAGAACCAAGGGGGTCTCTCGGTTTTGCATCATCCGCAGCGGCCAGGCTTCTCGTGGCTGGTTCTTTTGGAACTGGCGTGATGGAGCCGGCCCTGCTTGGGACCGGGGAAGATTTGGCCATTTCCTGACAGCTACAGTGTGCCGCACAGTCGGATGGAGGGTCGAGGCTGAACAGCTATCGAAATTCTATGGACTCACACCCAGCAGCCAGCAATTTTCTACAGTTGCAGAAGAGCAGGAACTTGAATCGAGAGAAGCCTCGAAGTGTTTGAAACATCGGCCCTGCAAGAACAGAGCTCCATGCGCTGCGCTCGATAATTCACCTCCGGCGCGCGGAGAACACATTCCGTCGCAAGTTGGTGGAACAGTAACAGTGTGGGGCTGTCGTGAGAGCATGTGAGAGCTATCTCCGTCATTCTGGAACCTCGGTTTCAGGAATGTTTCAACACGAAGATGAAGGACAACACGGATTTTCCCAAAAGCCCTTCTGGGATTGGATTCCTCTCTCGGGTTTCTACCAGGCGGGTGGCCTAGAAAGTGGTGGCGATGTGGAAGTGTGGCGGCGCAGCAAAGGGCTCCGAGTGTTTCGGCGACCGCGGCCGGGCCATGCTGGGCCTCCGGCCTCGGATTAAGCCATCTCTCGCGGAAGTTTGCTGAGTGGGTTTACAGTGTTTACAGTCTACCTTGGTTCTGGTGTCCTCTTAACTTCTGCGAAGACACTCGCATCGCCAGTTTGGGCAGGCTTGTCCTCACCAGTTGCATCCACATCGGGTGTCGTTCGGTCTCTTGGAGGGATGTGATACGTTTCTCGTGCCGAAGTGTTGTGGTTGGTGGTGGCCGCTGTTTTTACAAGCGCCTGTCCAGTGTGGAAAGCTAAAAGGCATCGTACCCCCCGCCAACAAATTCGAGGATGTGCGAAGTGTAGCTTTCCTTAGTTCGGCCATGTGGCTCTGCTCGCGTCACGGTGAGGATTTCCGCACTTGCTTTCAAGAAGGCCTTCTGGAAGGCCTCTTGAAGAGCTGGCCTGTGGTTCCCTCAGTCTGACTGAGCAGTGCACTTTGCTGCAGGCACGGCGCCGAGCTTGCCTGCATGGAACGGCCAGGGCGAGGACTGCAAACGGGGTGGCGGTGAGCTTCGGTTTCAGAGAGATGCGATGGGCTAGCAGCTGTGCACTTCAAGGATCCCTTGGAAAGATTGCTGGAGCCAGCTGCAGGCGAAGATCCCTTTGCTGCTCGTCATGTTGGTGACCTCCATGGCATCACTTGTTTGTCGTCTGTTGAAGGGCATTTTCTGCATCTGAAACCATGCCGAGGTTCGTTATGGCGATGCCGTCTGCCTGCGCTGCTCAAGTGGCCGGTGTGTAGACGTCGAGAGGAGCAAGGCAAAGGGGCAAGGGAAGGGAATGGACTGGAAAGAAGGTCCGGGCAAGGGCCGGGTGCATTCTGCAGATCAGCCGACTCTATCGCAGTACGGCCCGGTATCCCCTCAATGCGGACTCTCGGCAGTGCCCAGATGTTGTATGTCACATCCACACGCTGAAATCATCGCCTGTCCAACCGTAGAGTATTCTGCTTAAGTTACGATGCTCGTAGGGTGTCATCAGCAGGAGTGCAGTGGCAAGGAGCAAGCAAAGGTAAGGTGCTGGTACTCAGAAGCGCTACTCTAGGAGTTTTTTGGCGAGAGGCAGATATGCAAGTTTCCAAGCTTCGCCTTGCCAGTGCTGGAGGTCTCGGCGAGATGGTTCGAGGGCCTGTCTCTCAGCTGTTTGTCGTTGAAGCTTGCTGTTATTGACATGTAGCACGCACCGCCAGCCTTCGGCGAGAGCCGACGGACACAACATGATGCAAGCAAGATGTATGCTGGGCAAGGTGGCGACTGGCAGACGTTTATTGTGTGCCCGGCATCAAGCTCTGTGCCTTGGATCTATGCTAGAAAGTCCTTTTCAACCTGTTGTGGACAGCAGCTTGTGCAAACTGTTCAAGCGAGTACGGGTGCTTCTTGCAGCTAGTCTTGCAGTCCCACCCCCGGAAAGTCTGGTGCTGTCTGAAGGCGGGTTTCAGCGGTGCAGTGCGAGATGGAGACGTGATTCGCCTTCTTGCGCACAGTGGCGCATCTCTCAGTGACTGAAGCTGCCCAGCTGGAATGCTTCTGAGTCCTGCACTCTGCTTGTCTTCATCATCGCTTGCCATCCTCTTTTCCGAGGCGTTTCTCTGGGTATTTCGACGGGCGGCAAGGCCGAGCCTCCACTCCTCACTCCTCTTATGGGCTTCTCTTCTGACTCTTCTGTTGTGGTGTGTAAAAACGGTTAGAACACAGAGCACTGACTTTCCAACGGTTTTTTCGCTTGGGAGTATATCGACAGGTTGATGCTGAACACTGTAGCCGCTGTAGCCACTGCAGGAGGGACCAGAAGAAGTAGTGGTTGTGGCGATCGTCGTAGCGGTCGTTGTTCGTCGTCTTCATGGTTATCGTCCGTCGCTTCCTCGTCTTAGTCGTCCGTTGTCGTCGTCGCCTCGTAGTGGTGATTGTGGTGGCGGTCGTCAGTGCGGCAGTGGTGGGAGCGGACATGGTGCTTTGCAGTACCAACACCCTTCCTTGAAGTAGACACTAGACGAAGAGCAAGGATTGTGCGTAGCACGAAGCATTTCAAGAACAACAGGAGCAAGATACGCAGCTAATCAAAAAGAGCAGGACAAGTTGCAATAGTAGCCGGAGTCACTGGGAGTAGGAGGATTGGTAGCGGTAGTGGTTTTCCTGTCGTGCCAGCTTGCTAGATGTGCCTTCGGGCTAGGCTTGCCCTGGCTGTTCTAGGAAGTTATGCAGTTGCGCATTCAGCCAGGTGCTTTGCCGCCCTGGAGGCAGCATCAACTGCGAGCTAACTGTGGCATGCTTATGCAGTGGATAGTGCTTTGATAAACTATGAAAGCCACTGGGGGTCAGGTGTGAGTCTGCCCCAGTAGCGTGAAGTCTTCGTGGCAGGTACTTACCTGATTCTGGCTGCCTTTGGAGCTGGGTTAGGACTAGTGGCTCTCTGTCACCCAGCAGTCAACGCATGTCACTGCTGCAAAGTTCTACTCTAACATGAGCCCTTCCTGCCAAGGTTTTGCTGAAGGAAAACCCTGGGTGTCGGCGGCAGTTGCGGCACAAGGAGCATGAGATTTGACGAGCTCCGTATCAGGAACAAATCTGCTCTCCCTGTGCCGGTTCTCGAATTCTCCTCATATCTTGCTTTTCTCCTGTGTGCAAGGACGAGGTCCACCTCCAGTGCAGGCAATGTGCCGTTGAAGTCGCAGAGCCTGGGGACCTTCGACCTCCTGCAAGCTCGCACTAGTCGCACTAGGACCTAGGAGTCCAGGTCATCTCCAGCACTGTGAACCTTCATGTGGCACGACTATTCCGGGCATGTCTGCAAGCGCACAATCCGACCAGGAATTCGGGACGCGTGTTGGACGTGGAGGGCTCTCGCGTAGCGGCCAGGCAGGTTGCACCCATGCAGCACCATATAACCTAGACAGACACACCTTACGACCAGCTGGCATCGGAGTTGCACCCTGCTTCTAGCACAGTAGCAGGCCAGGGTAGACAGAATATGAAGCCTGGGCGCTGCTTGCTATCAGCTCACCCCAGTTGTCTTTGCGGCTGTTGCTGGAACTTGCAACCCACAGCTGTTCATATTTCGAATCGACACAACTCGAAAATGGCAGCAGTACTAGGACTTCACGTGCTGCAAAATGGTCACAACGCTTCTCAAGGGCTCGATGCTTCACCAGACCACGATGTACACTAAGTGTGAACCACCCGCGACTGTAGTTTCCGCCGAACCCGCGATTTGCTAGATGCGGGCTGAGTTACCCGGACCGGCGGTCAAGTGCCCTGAACACCACCCTGAGACTGATGGTGGCTAACTTGGTTTTGGCCTCCTGCCCGTGCGCGACTCTCCCCCTGGCAGCGGGCAGTTGCTGATTGACCCTTGTTGCAACCCTTCAACTCCCATTCAATGGTACTTTGACCGTCGTGGCTATTGGGCACTGGGCCTTGCCCCACGTTCGGGTCCGGAGAAGCGGACGGGTGAGTACGGTGGTGCTTGATTTAGGCATGCCAAGCATGGTGATGGATATGCCTTCGAACAGCAATAACGATGCGCGACAGGTCAGGTAGCGCGCTTTTTGGCACACTTGCATTGCGAGCTCAAGAGCGGTTGAATTGGATGTACTTGTGAATTCGCGCTCCCACCGATGGCGATGTGCTTTCCAAAATCTGCTTGTGGTCATGAAGTGCCGAGGGTTGGAATGAGTTGTGCTACCGGAAAGGAGCATGTACGTGATCGTCCGTGGGAAGATTCAGACCGCATTAACCGGCACACTTCTGAGGTTGCAACGCCTAACGCCTGCCTGTCACATGCCTCACTTGCTGCTTGTCAGGTTTCAGGATTTCGGGGAGTGGCAGAGCCTCTCAGTCCTGGTCCCGGCAAGTGGCTATGCTTCAGTTGACATATACGATGTTGCTCAGTAATCTCAGTAGTGCTCAAGAAATCTCTCCGAGCGATCGCTGGACAGGGGCTTAGTATGTTCCGATACAGCATCTAGTTCCAACTCTGAACCGCTTCACCTTATGGACCGTGGGTTCGCAATGAAATAGTCGCAGCAAAATGTGCAGATGCAGGGAGAGCCACACATCTATCTTCAGTGGGAGGAGACAGAAATCCACAGCAGCTCCGCATCGAGTGCCGAGTGCCATCTCATCGAAGCCAAGTCATGACTGGTGAAAATTACACTTCCCGACAATAGCACTGTCACACCACTCATTCGCCAGATTATGGGAAGCATCGGTTGGGGGCAATGTCTGCCGAGATCGAGCGCAAACTTCCGCCAGATGCCTGCTCGAAAGGCACGCGCTTGCTTTGGTGCGTCGGTTCAAGAGCTTCAGAAGTTTTACGGAAAGTCTGCAATCGTGCTGGAAAGGCCACTCGTTTCATGCAGCAGAGTTCAAGAAGCATGGTTTCTGGTGGGTGCATGTGCTAGGGTCTTGAGGCTGTGTTCAGGCTTCGAAAGTTGAAACACTGCGGTAACGGATCGAGGTTTCGGGGGTTGGAGCACCCGAACTTAACCCTCAAACCCGAAACCCCAAACACCATGCTGGGCATGCAAGCTGGAAATCAAGATTTGGCATCAATCTTCTCAGGACTGAACGAGGCCCCTGCGTCGGAGAAAGTTCTCGAGGAGGCGTGGTCTGCACTCGATTGCACAAAGGTTGTGCCTTCAGCGCCGTTCAGTGAACAATGCACGGGTGATCGTTCAATGGGAGCCTTGCAACATCGTGTCAATGAACTGCTCTTGTCGTAGTCTGTCTGCATCTGTGCTGCTGTACATGTCTTCGAGGCGGCACGGTCATTAAAGCGGCTTGCGACCCAGTGTCCAGTGCCCTCCAATGGTCGTTGGGAAGTGCTGGGGCTTGTTCCACACGGAGATATTTAGGACCTCTGCGGTGGCGGAGCTTGCGCTGCCCTCGCCTTTGCGAACGCGGCTCGCAGGCTGGGCCGGACAATTGGCAAGCACGCTCCGACCATTGGATCATGGTCAGGTGCTCAAGCCAGACTGACCGCAGCGTAGGAAGCCTTATCCCCAACCTTCCAGCAGCCGGCGTGGGCGTCGAGTCGTCGAGGTCATGATGTAAGATCGGAGAGAGATGCACCGTTATGAGACTGCGAAATGTCGCCCACGGATTTTCATGCTGCTGCTGATTTTAAACTGCTGTTCTGAAACCAGCTGGTCTACCCTCCAATAGTAGCTGTCGGGCGGGCAGAAACGTGCCGCACGCTTTGCAAAGGACCCATGCATGGTCTCAATCCTGTTCCGTGCCGTTGAACCAAAAACTGCAAACTCGCATGCTAGTTTTCTGGAAGAGACTTCTTCATGCCTCATGAAGTGATGCTTCTTTCCCTCTCACTTTCGATTGGCACGTCTAGCTCCTGGTTTGGCCAGGTTTTCCAGGAATCGTGGGGTACTGGCATGTGGCATGTTGATGCTTCAGGACTTGTGCACTTGCAAGTAAGACAATCCCACGTTTCCGGAGTTTTCCTCCCTCCGAACGGAGTGTTGATCAGTTGCAGAGAGCTTGCCCCAGTTCCAGGGAAGGGCCCGAACCGTAAGTAAGATTCTCTTTGCCTCAGCAGCCTTATCATTTGCCAGCCCTGTCGGGCTCCCTGCCACTCTGGAGACGCCGAAGGTGTCTGATCTCATGGGCGTGTCACGTGGTGATGAGACTGCAGTCTGGTTCTTTTCTTGTCGCCGTAGCTCTAGGGCAGATTCATGCAGATTCAAGGGACGTGTTTCATCATCACCGCCCTGTGAGTCTTTCAGCTTGGCCAGCACATCCTTGTGCCGGTGCCCCAATCCACTCTCATAGCTGGCTGTTGCTGAAGCACAGCCTTCAGCCAGATGGGATGCCTCAAGAGGTGTTCGTGGGCTTGCAGCTTCATGACCGTCTTGAGACCCTTCGCAGCTAGCCTGTAGCTGTGGCCCTGCTCGCAGTCATGGATTCGCGGTGACTCCTCCCCGAGGAGAGGATTCACACCTGGGACCCTTCCGAAGCGCCACGTAGATAGCAGTCCAGGCGCGGGCATGGATGTAGACACGCTCGCGAGGGAGCCCCTGGTTCTTTCCAGCATCCTTTGAATGTCACATGTGAAGAGCTGAATCGGCAGACGACATTTTCGCTGGATTCGCGACAAAAGGAGCTTTGTAAATAGTTTACATAGTAGGGATACCAAGCGCGATCTTGACAACCTGCTCTATCGAATAGACATATCGTGGAAAGTCAAGATCACGTTTCCACACGGTAGCTTCTAGTGACCTAGTGTTGATCTGGGGGAAGATTGCTCCCTCAGCACCTTGAACTTGGCCTTACCGACGAGATGCAGAGGTCGTGTTCGCGCGGTCGACCGCCAAACCTCAGATTCTCCGTAGCTCGCAGGCCAGATGGCCCCCAGTGAGGGACAGCTGGAGGCTTGAGCCTTGGCCCCACTCGTCTTTGGATTCCCGTTCATCTCACGTAGAATGACATTGCGACCATACCTGACGAGTTCCTCTTTTGGCGATCTCTGCAGCTTGCGCGCAATGGCCTGCTGAATGCGTGTCATTTTCGATGCAAGCCCGCAAACATCATGCGACCATGCCGAGCGGGCTTACGGAAGAAGGCTACATTGAAGCTACGCACGCCGGTTGAAATGTTTCCAAGTCCCACATCGAAGCATAGATGACCTCGAGCCAAGAATCTTGTGGCCGGTCTTTGCTTGGATGGATCCTGTGGTCCAAACTTTGACCACGGGCACGTGAAGACAGGGCCCAATCTAGTACTCCAAAAGAGCGCCCTGTAGACTGCGGCTCATGCTGGGCTTTTCGGCAGCTTGCTAATCAAGGTTCAAAGGCACAACTGAAAGCTTCAGGAACCCGAAGCTGACCACGACTGTCTTCTTTTCTGTTGCATTACTTGAGGCTCCCCTGCACGCTTGCGCTTTTCGGATTCAGCTCGTAGGGTGAAAGGAGCACTGACTGCCACTGACCCACCCTGTTAGCAAACTGGTTTCAAGACCAAAGCAGCAGCAAGAATCCCAGGGCTGCTGATGCATTGCATAGGCATCCTGGCCGCGTGGGTAGAAGGATCCGACGGAATTTCGACGATGGATTTGTGTGGAAGGCTAAATCGAAAGCACTGCATCTTGATAGCCCGCACTTCAACATCAGACCGAGGATGGGGTCCACTATCGAGTAGATGCGGCGGTTTTGTCAGTCGAGGTCATCAAGGTTCCTTTAAAAAGAGGTCAGATTTGTTTATTCCAGCCAATAATGGCATCTCTTGCATATGCATATCCGGAAGCACGGCCTGCCAGGAGGCTGATGGAGGTACCTCAGTTCGGAGACAGATGAACCGCAGATGCCTTTAGGAACAAAGCCATGGCTTCTGGTCCGGAGGCCTGAGCGTTATGGCCAAGTGCACACATCTGGGGACGCTGCCAGCCTTCAGGATGGACAGACTCAACGGACTGTAGCACAGACCTCCCGTTTCAACCTGGGGCTCCATTTCTGGTTTTGCGTTCGTTGTGAAGGCGAAGTCGATCCGAGGAGGTTGCGGTACAGGTGCTTCTGGGTTAAGGGGGAGATGCGTTCATTCGGTGCTCCAGGAGACATGGCCTTTGCCCCTGCGCTTGCCTTCCCGCATGGGTCGAGCTTCGCTTATTGCCAGGGTCCAAGTGAAGGATTGTTTTACATGGTTCGAGTCTAGTCGAACGGATCGACTGCTCTGGTCGCAATGTGAAACAATCAAGCTGGAGTGAGCTGTCTCGTGTGGTGCCGGTGGTAGAGGACTGCGCCGTGGCCGTAGCGGCAACTTCGCTGACAGCGGCCTTGGCGCAGCGACCGTCAGCAAAGCCAGCTTCTCGTGCCCGTCGGGCTGGATCATGTGCCTCTGTGTTTTGCGTGACGTCCAGCTTTGCGCAGCTGTCTCAGCAACAGGGCTAGAACAGCTGCTTCTTTCGCATCTGTCCAATGAGGATGGAGCTCCGAGGATGGGACCCTGGAGCCTGTGTTGACCTAAGATTTGGATTTGGACCCTGTGGCACAGGGGTTGGCGAAAACTCCATCTTGCAAGGCTAGCCTGGAGTCTACTAGAATATTATAGAATACTAGAATCCGGTGAATCCAACTCCGTGAGAGCACAGGCGTTGCACATCAATTGTCAGAGCGACAGAAGGGCAGGGAGATCTGTGCATGCAAGACTGCAAGACAGTAGCCAGTCGTCACGCTCCGAGGCCTCGCTTCGTTGTACATCCTCATCATGATGCCTGGCAGCAAGTGGTGTTAATGTGAAATTTGGTGGGTGGACAGGACTGGTCCGAAATTGTTGACGTGGTTGATGAATCTTAGCAATTTATCGAATGTGTTTGCCTGCTTGAGGTACTGCGTCCAGAGCGCGCGCGGCACCTGTTTCCGTCCGGCCCTTGTATTTGCACGTCTCGGTCCACACCGAGGTTCCTGGAGTGGCCGGAGAAGGGCCTCCAACGGTTTCTGGCCTCAGGGAGGGACCATCAGATGTCGTCCGTTAGGCAGCTCAGAGACCGCCCCCCACGTTCATCGATTCATCGTCACGGGCGGTCGTTTTTGGGAAGTGTGAAGTCTGCAGCCTCTGCCGCATTGCAGGGCTCCAGGTCCAGTCGGGGTTTGGGCTGGGAAAGCTTTGCGGCCGTGCGAGAAGTTTCACTGCCTTTCCTGGGCATTGTGCAATCGATGGAGATTCTCTCCGACGACGAGGCCTTCGGATGCAGTGTGACTGTATGTTCTCCACGCAGTACGAGAAATAGACTTCGTGACGGGGTTGAGAAGAACTCGCAAGATGCTCGAGCAGTCTCCGGCATGATCAAAGCATCGATCCCTGCACTCCATGCCAGGCAGCCTTGCCAGCAGGGATTTAGGAACGAGAGGGGCTGAGACCCAGGTTCAGTGTAAGGGATTGCAAGGGCATGGGCTTGCAGTCACTTGTTCAAAGATTTGCCTGTCGTCCTCCGTTCCGGCTCTTCCAAACACCAGCCTCGCCTCGAGAGACTCGGCCCCAGCTGCAGTGAGCAGGATTCTCCTCCTGCGGAACCTGCTTCATCTGCGCCCCTAGCAGCTGTGTGGATCCCAGTTTGCAGAGGTTTCCAGGACATATCAACCAGACCTGCTGGTTCCTTTGACATCTGGGTGGCATCAGTTTCCGTCCGAGCCGTCATTTGTGTGTTTTTGTGTACTGTCCTCGTGTACACTCTGAACGCAGGCGAGTGTGGCACTTGTGATCAGTCTTTTGCATCTGCAGAAAAAGGCCCGGTGCCGCCGCCTGTTTGCAAAGGATGAGCCTGCACCAGTTTTTCCTTCAATCATGCACCCGGACACACTCAGCTTTTGCGTAGCAGGCAGTGACATGACAGACAGCAGCACGACTTGGGTAAAGAAGGTATATAGTTTGTATATAGATACGGTTTGGTCAGCGTTTTCATGCATTTCCGCGTCCCTCGCGTTTTGGTGTTCGAGAAAGAGTGGTCTTTTCTTCAGGTGCCTCCGATGGAGGCCTCTGCCTCTGCCGAGGCCGGGGACTTCAGAAGAGTATGGAAAAGCCCAGAGCTGCATGTGTGTATAGACAGCTGCATAGGACATCATCGGACATACGGAGATAGGCCGTGAAGCAAAGCTATGCAAAGTTTCTCACGTCGCACCCTTTTGCTGGCTCAAAGTCTTGCCTCTTGACGTCTCTGGCGGCTGTTGCAGCGCACGCTCCAGTGACGAAGGTGGAACGCGACCAGGGCATACGGAAGGATGTCGGATGTTTTGAGTATGTGCTGATTCTGGGCGCTCCGCTGTCATGACGAGACATCGTAGAGTATGTGGAATTGCATGGCGAAAGTGAACAACAGTCAGAGGAGGATGAATTGCAATTGTAGATGCTTCGTGTAAGACGCCTTTGAAGAGGCAGGGGAGGCACTCGGCTAATGGGGTGAGGGACCAGGACGAAGGGGCGGAACGATGTGCATTCTGGGAAGGGGCAGTCTGGGCCGGCACCTAAGTATGGGTTCGATTTTAAGAATCATCGGTCACGAGCCTTTGACCTTTGACATCAATCGTCGAATCGTGGTAGTAGGTTTGGAGACGTATACGACTTTGATCGCCTGGGTGCATAGCACTGTGGAAAGGCACGGAGAAAGGAAGGGCGGGCGCACTGTGCAAACCGCAGCGGTGCGCCACCCCACAGAGGAAGCCACGGACTGCGAAGCAGAGCCCTGCAACTGGTTCAGGCCAAGCCATGGGTTGTGGTGGCAGTGTCGCGGCTCCAGGTTCCGCCTGCAGCGAGTTGTGAGTAGTTAGATGTGGATGTCAAAGTGTGTCTCAAGTGTTCTCCACGGATGCACACACACGCGCCAGGGGATTCTCATCCATGACTCACGCGACCAGCCGTAGGCAGCTGCAAGAATCGGTTTGCTGCAGGGTCTGGTGAAACCAGTCTCGGTGACCGTTGGGCAGTGCGAGTACGGGACCGGGCTTGTGTGTGCAACGGTCGGAGCGGAGGAAAGTCTTGTCCACTTGTACCTTGTGTGACTGGGGACGTGGAAGGATGACAAGGGACACGAGATGCCCTCTGTGCAGTATCGTGCCCCTCGGAACCACTCAGATACCAAGCATGTCGGCGGGTTGTGTGTCAAATATTACCTGGTATTGTTTCTGCACAGCTTTTCTTGCTCTAAAGCTTCATGTATGAGACAGATCTCCTCAGAACCCCACACTGATAAAACCTGCTGACACAAGCTCTTTGAGAAGAAACGCCAGTGGCCTTTCGCCGAGGAAGCTCGGCTCAGCTTCAGCTCGATGGTGGACGTTGTGGACATACCGCAGCATCCACTACCGCCGGGAAAGTCTTTGATGGTCAAGCACGAAGAGAAGCTCCGTGGATTGAACTGATGGGGTTCGAGGAGTCTTGAGGCACTCGTTAGGCACCATCTATCGTTAGGTTTGCCGCCGACTCTGTTCGCACAAGACTGTCAGTGAAAGGAAGGTCGTACCTCCTGTTGGTAATGTTAGTCTGCAGCAGCCTGACCCTGTGGGAAACGCCAAGGGGGTTCCGAAAGAAGCGTCTCGTCCAAGTGCCGCGCAGCCCACGGGGCGTACTCTGCACTTGAGCTCTAGTGGCGAAAGTGGGTCATCCTAGATTCTGGTCCTACATATCTCAAAGTATTAGACATACCAGGGTGAGCACCAAGGCAAGTCAAGACTAGTCCAGAATCGATGAACAGCTCTGACTGTAATCGTCATGTAGCAGTCTCGCAAGGCTGAATTCTTGGCTGCAGCGAGTGCGCGTTGAGCCGCAGCTGCTGGAAGATCCGGTCGTGAACTTCAGAGTGGGCCTTCTCCAGCCGCCTTTGCCATCACCTTCAAGAAAGATAAGAGCCTTTAAATGAGCTTCGACGAAACTTGCATGAACGAGACCATGATGGTTTCGAAATCGTCATTGCTCGGAGAGCGTGACGTCCAATCTGTTATTTAGGATTTTCACAGCTTGCTGTCCTTGTCATACAGCCAAAGCTAGAGCAGCCTCCTTCGAGCGAAGGAGCTCTCGTATAACTTTATTCCGCTGTGGCGCCTTCTTCGGTCCTGACTTGCTATGCTGACAAGCTGTAGGAATGCGTTGCTGTCGCGTAGACCCCGAAGACGCCGAGATCGCTCAACACGCCTTCCGCCGGCATGTTCCTTTTTTGCAGGCATATCGTCGCTGGAGATGGTTAGGTCCGTTAGGTGACACACCCGATTCTCTGGTTTTTCCTTTGTCTGCTTTGCATAGGAGCCTTGAGACCTGAGCGAGGGCTCAAACCTCGCGGCCCGTGACGCTTCCAAGAAAGACCGATCAAGAGAAGTTGAGGCAGATGCTGTTTAAGGCAGATTCTTCGATTCTTCTTGTTGCTGAGCTTTGGAGTCTCGAAGTGTGAAGTTACAGGCATCTGGTGCCGCCATAATCTGCCCACGCCTGCAACAGTTTCCATGCCCGCAGCATTGGACGATCTCGAGCGTATAGCCTCGAAGTCTCGAAAACTGTGTGCTCCAAGCATGCAGATGACTCAAATGCCGGCTTTCGTTCCAGGGCTTCCCGGACTTCCGTCCATGATGCCAGTGGTTCTGCAGCCTGCATTGCCCACCATGCCCGCACTCTCTTCGGTGTGTGCGATTCCAGTGGTGATGGTTGGTTTGCCGATGCAGATCGCGCAGAGCCAGATCCTCCCTCGTGAGCTCTCTTCGCCGGTTCAGTGTGGCCCTGGCCCTTCGGGTGGTGAGGTGGCTGCAGCTGCTGCAGCTCCAACTGCCTCGTCGCTGTGTTTAGCATACTCTCTCTGATAGTCAGATGGGTTTGGGCTCCCATAGGATTACCAGAGAATGATGCACTTAAACCAGGCATTCAGTGAGCACGCCTCAGACGACTCTTCAAGCACCACTTCCGACTTCTCGGAATCGCCTGTGCTGGGCAAGGTCTGGCAGCTCTCGCAGAGGCAAAAGTTTAGACAAAAAAGCTCATATAGACTCAGGTTTTTTGAGTGCAGTTTCAGTGCAACCAGCCACCAGTGCACTCACAACCGCACCCTGCAAGCCACCGGAGGCAGAAGGGTTGCAGGAAGGTTCAGGAAGCCGTCGATCAGGCTTGCATCACGGCACCACTTTAGAACATTAGCTCCGGTGTTCCTTGAATGTGTTGTGGTTATCCTATGGCAGATAGGTTCTGCACAGCAGCGTCTGGACACTGTGGCACCAGACCGAGACGGCAAGTAGCATGAAGAATGCAGAATGCTCGCAGTGTCTCAGGTAATGAGCTGAGGAAGCAGATTGCGCAGGAGCTCTCCGGACATGTCGACCTGGCTGCAATGATTTCTAGATGGTGCCTTGTAGACTTGAATGCTTGCATGCTTGTCCTTGCAAGGTCGTGGCCGCAGCCCTGTCGCCCAATGCCAACCATGTCTTACAGCGCCTGGTGGCCACGCTCAGACCGCATGACTGCCAGCCACTCATTGATGAGCTCTTGCAGGCAGGGATCGGCCAATCGACAGTGCGACCGGCGTCGTTCTGCGTTTTCACGTGTCGTTACTCTGTCCCAGGGCGGCGCGGCAACAGTCCTGGAGGTTGCTCGTTGCTGGGCTGCCAGAGCAGACAACTCACATCTGAAGCTGTTCATGCTGTTCTGTTCCGTGTCCTCATGCCGTCGCTGTCAATTGAATCTCAGCTTTCGGAAGCTGTGCTCTGAGGCCATCAGCCGCTCGATTGCCTTCAGGGAAGGGGAGGTGATGGAAGTTTGGCACCTCTCCTGCAGGATGTGCAGTCGATGACGCTGAAAGACTCAGGTATGGATGCCGAGTGATTCAGCGTCCCTTGAAGCATTATTCGTGAGGATCTGTCCAGTTGGAACCAGAGCGGTCCATGCATGAAAGAGTCTGCATTGTCGCATCAGCAAGATGTTTGGACGCGACGATCAGACGACAAATCATCCAGGTTTGCTTGAACATTGTCATCAGGAGCAGATGGAGCCTTGGATGAAACTGCAGCGATGCACCAGCTCCGAAAGGAAGGGCTCAGGCTTTGTTTTGAGTTTCAGACAAAGGAGGCAGTGGCCAACATCTTGATGGCCGATGCACTTCCTCTAGCACGTCATGCCGCTTGAAAGCAACAACATCACACAATCTGTGCACTCATCGTGTGGCTTTCACAGTTGGTCGTTTAACAATCAGTGACTTTGCAGATGAGGCCTATGGAAACTTCGCCCTTACCTCAGCAAGTAGCCCCGCCTGGAAGTTAGAGACCACTGTGGAGGCAGCACGGCTTCCTTCGCCCCACCATCTTTGTGCATCTTGCGCCGCCGTGCCCAGGTCATGCAGCAACTTCTGCGATATGGCAACCTGTCTCGATGTGCACGAAGAAGCTAGTTGGGGAAGCGGAGCTGTCTGTCCGAGTGCATGCAAGTCTTGCACGTTTCAGGCCTGCTAGGGATTGTTGTTGATAACAGTCTCACTCTCTCTCTTTAGTCTCTCTCTCCGAGGGAGAGGGACATGGAGAGAGAGAGAGAGAGAGAGAGAGAGAGTAAAGACCGAGCCCATTCATTCAAAAGAATGGATGGGGCAGCGCACCCGCGCGGGACGGGAGGACTGCTCCCGCCCCAAGCCCCAAGCAAAGCAAGAGAGAGAAAGAGAGAGACTGTGCGGCTAAAGCCATATATTGTGCGATAGCAGGATAGGATGACCGTACGTTCTCAAAGGACACATGCAGTGTATCAACAGTGTTTTGCATTCCCCCGATTTGTGATGACCTATGTTCGCTTCTCACTACCCTTTGCCCAACAACACGTCTTGGGTGGGCTTGATGATGCTTGATGCCCGGGGGACTTGACCGTCCCTGATGCCCAGGAGAGAGAGCGAGCGAGAGAGAGAGAGAGAGAGATGGCACTCCTCCTGAAAAACAGGAGCACAAGTCTTTGTAAAGACCGAGCCCATCCATTCCAAATAATGGATGGGGCAGCGCGCCCGCGCGGGGCAGGAGGACTGCTCCCGCTCCAAGCCCCTAGCAAAGCAAAGCAAAGATGGCAAATTGTCAGTATGTGGGCCGCACACAGCCAAAAATGCCCCCGGCTGCCACATGGAGGGGAAACGCCCTCGCCTCAGCTACAAGGGACACGCGGTGACCGGCCTTTGGGGTGCTAGAACCACAGCCTTCAAGGCGGGTTGGGGTTTAGTGTATGGGGGGGGGTTGCGAAGGTCGGCCGGTGTTTTGTCCCGTGGAGTTTTTATCTTTTCTCACCGCCCGAAATTCCCCGGTGCGCGAAATCGCGCGGGGGAGAGGGTGCTCGTGCGTCCGACCCTCCTGGCCGAGCTGAAGAAGAGATGGCAAATTTCCCGGTAACTTCTGTTAATATGACTCGTCCGACATGAGCGTGAACCCGAAATGCTTTCACACCCCCACAAAGCCCCAATAAGCAAGGGGGGCCCTGGTGGCCAGAGGTCTCTGCTGAAGATGCGTGAGCCGCCCAAACCGAGTCCCGAAAATGTGCCGTCTGGAAGTCGTTTATCCGGTACAATGCACACCTTCAGCTCACCTGTTACAGGGGGCTTGCGTTTGTGAGCAAACACGCCCCACCCCACTTGCTTTCTATACGTAGCTCTGGAGCGGCGGGTTGGGACTGCCAACCGCTCAAGCCCCAACCAAAGCAAGCCAAGGAGAAGAAAACGCGAGAAAAGACCCCCCTGGCGAAAGAGAGAGGGAGCGAGAGAGAGAGCTAACGCGTGAGGGGTGAGGGTAGCTCCCTCACCCTCTACCCTTACCCTTGCGACAGAAACGCGAGAGCCTAACCCGCTCTTCCTGCCCGGGAGAGACAGAGGGAGAGGGCAAGCCGGGAGAAGGTGGGGCCGGTACTTTGGTGGGATCTTTGCTGTCGAGATAGCCTTGGAGCGACACTTTTGGCTAGACTCGAAGCAAACTGCGCAATCGAGGCTCCCGTGCGCAGCAGCATATCCTCTGCCAATCATTCAAGGCGGGTCGGCAGTGACATGTTCCAGGTCCTTGCTGTTACCAGACCGCGCAGGATTGAGAAGCGACGGACACAAACATCTGCATGCTACCGACAGTTTACGATTTATAGATGCTTGCACAAACAAGTTTAAGTGCACTCTCAGACCACGTTCAAAGCCTTAGTGAGCCTCAATGTCCCATCCGAGCAGAGGCCAGCATCCAGGAGCTTCTTTCCCATCAGGCGGCCTCTCCGGTCATTGCGAAGGCAGGCTCCAAGCAGTGCCTCCGTGCGGCTCCCAAATTGAAGAGACATTCCCGAGGCACTGGTCCATTCATCGCCAGAAGACCAGGCCCTGGGTGGAGCCGGGCTTCTAGCAGCCTTAGATGATATGATTCTTTTCCTAGCCTGTGGCTAAGGTGTCTTGTGACCGAATATTTGTCCTTTCCGATGGATCTGCAGTCATGTGCCTGTTGCGGGGCTGCTGGCGGTAGGTGAGCCTGGCTCGAGCGGCTGTGGGCCGGCGGCTTGCCGATGTGGCGATCACGAGGCGGAGTCTGAAGCCCATGGCTTGGGAAGTTGGAAATTGGTCCGGCAGGTATGGACACGAAGCCGTGCAGAGGGTGCTGCAAGTGCTCGTTGGAGAGGAGCCAGAGCCCGCACCGCCCGCACAGCCCGCACCCTGCTACTGCGCTCTTGCCAGGGACGCCGTATGACACCATGTTTGCACCTTTCACTTTTGTTTTGCAGTTCTTGCCGCGCGTAAACCATGTACAGCACGACTGGGCCAGACAAGGCATCCAGCTTTGCGGGTGCTTGCAGGACTTCAACGCAGCGTGCGCGGCGCTTCGGCCACGTCTGGCGGCGCTCTGGGCAGCGCGCTACGGCCGGCTTGTGGTCTCCCGGCGCCAGACCGACTTGAAAGGTTGAATGTACTCGAGTGTGAGCCGCAATGCGCGGCTGTTCGGCGGTACGATGTCTTTGGTGGCAACGCTGTCTAGCTTGATGCTTTGTCCGGAGTATGCAAAGCAGTGCAACACGTTGCCAGATCTGCCGAAGTTTTCATGTTTCCTGCTCGCTGTCGTAGAATGGTTTGCGCCAATGTCTACATCTGACCTTTACTGTGGAAGCTGGCCCAGTTTGCCGTTCACGCGAATGTTGTCGCCTTTTGAGAGAGGCTCGTGCGTTCTCAGAATGCATGTGAATGCATGTAATCATGCCGCCCGGCTTTCTCTTCTTTTGGTCAGTAGAGCGGTGGTCGAAGCTGAGAGGAGTTCCCGAAATGCAGATACCGAGGTCAAGTCTGTACCGGAGCTTCACCGGCTCTGCGCGGGCATGACCCGCTCGGAGGCGCTGTCGGGACACTGTCGTGAGATGATCGAATCATCTTCGTTTATCAAGTTGGCATATTCCTCGTGCTGTACTCGCTGAGAGTCTGGCACTCGACAACCTGTAAAGCTCCGATTGTAGGGATTCAAAAGAAACCGTGTTGGCCCATCCCCTTTCTTTCAAGACCTGGCACAGGCATTGGCAAGTGCTTGAACATGCTTGTGATCGGTTGCTCTCGAGTGATTCGCTTGCAGCCCCCTTTATTTATCTGATTTGATGTGAGTTCGAGCGTTCCCATCTGACGATACGTATCTAGAATCTAGGGTTCTGGTTGGTTGATGCCGATACAGGTATGGCGTCGGATACCTCTCATGTAGCGAGAACTCGCAGCAAAACACCCCGACCGACAGCCCACCAGTACAGTTCGTGTCCTGGCCTGAATGGTCAGAATTCGATGCAGGCTAGGACGGAGTCCCGCCAAACGGAACTTGTGTGCCAAAGGCTCTAGTTGTCTAGGCTGCGATTAGCAGCATGTCCTGGCCCTTTGCATGCATGCCAAATAATTCCTGGGTAGTTTCATTCGTGAGTCCAGGCTAGCGTTACCAAACGGTCCCTGCCAGTGCCAACAGGTCACAGCATTTCGATCAGCTCGATATTGTCGGATGGTACAAATCGGCTGAGAGATTTTGGGACCGGGCCCGAGGGCCCTGCAGGCCACCAAAAGCTTCCGGCTTTGTTGGATTGTACAAGCCCCCAAGCAGTTGTAAAGACGGTGGCGATGCACTTCTGCAACGCGGTTCAAAAGATTGGCGAGCGGAGTGGTGACTTGTTCGACGAGCTTGGCAAAGGCCAGTAGCTCTCGGATGGTCAGAAAGCACCAGAGCACCACCGCCAACCTGCAACCCTATGGAAAGGTGTTGGACTCAGATGACGAGCCGGCCTTGACGCCTGAGGCGCATGTGTTAGACTGTACACTGTCAAGACAAAATGTACAGCATGCCGAATGTGCGCTTCGTATCCTGGTTGCGTGCAGGCTGCGACGTTGCCATCAACGAGTGGCCGCAGCACTCGGCGAAGCGGCAGAGCATCGCGAATCGCCATTCCTCCGCATCACTCAACCCAGGCCCAGGCTCGGAGATGCCGGTGACCGAGGCAACGCTGGCAGAAGGGCGAATGAGGATTGTGGCTTTGGTGCGGTTTATGTCGAATGAACTTAGAGTTAGTTGGGTTTTATCCGTTCCAGGTCGTTCAATGTGTTGTTTTGAAAGCCAAGCACCCGAGAGCAGTCCCGGAATGTGGTGTCGTATCTGAAGCACCTGCAACACGGCATAGGGTGCTGTTACCGCGACTGAAAATTATGACAACGACAAGGCCTTCCTTCCCCAGCCAACCGCAACACGGAAGCTAGTGATTTTCGTGGCTGTGATGGAGGTGACACCTGCAGCTGGGTCGTCTGGTGCTCCAAATCTTGCGGTGAGGCCTGGTCGTGAAAGTATTGTCCGGTAAGGAGGTGTTTTGAGCAATCTTGTCACAAATTGTGCAGGCGCGATTGGCAGATCGCTGGGGCAGTAGGATGAAGATGTCGTGTCTCTTGAACTCTGCTGCGCAGGAGGCAGAGAGAGAGAGAGAGAGAGAGAGAGAGAGAGAGAGAGAGAGATAGACAGAGAGAGAGAGAGAGAGAGAGAACTTCCCCTTCGCCGTAGCCCTGACGAAAGAAAGAGAGAACATCGGGGGCGCCTTCAAGGCCGAGGGGCTTCGAACACCCCTCATGCCCCGGGGAAGAAGAGAGAGAGAGAGAGAGCCATTTTGGCTCAAGCCGCGAGTGGTTCAAGGCCGCACAGCCCAGACAGAAGAGGGCCTACAAACCTTGACCGTGAGGGGAGGGCCACGCAGAGAGAGCGAGCCATACAAGTTCCAGGGCACGATCGTTGTTCTACACGACCTCGCCATCAAGGTTGCCTCGGGGGAGTACGGCAGGATCGGAGCCGTACGTGAACCGCTGCTCTCCGAGGCGTGCGGGGGACGTTCTGACCAACTACTTGAACAATAAGGCGAGCCTACGCAAAGCCGTGCTCGGGGGAACGATTCACCGCAAGGTGATCGGGTCGTAAAGTACCGAGAGGGCAAGTCTGCAGTACTACTTCCGCACCAGCGACCTCGCACTCTTCCTGGATGGCGGCGCCCAGCAACACACGCGGGGAAGAAGCCGTGCCCCCGCAGGGAACACCGAAGAGAGCCCGCGAACGGGAGGTCAGTGCCGACGCAGATGGGGAACAGCCACTGACTCTGAGCCTGCTCCAGCAAGCACTACAAGTGAATCAGCAGCAGATCACACAGTCCTTGCAGGAATCCTTGGAGGGGCTTGGCAGACGAGTGGGGACCCTCGAGGGCAACTTCGACCAGCACGTGGACAGAACAACCAAACTCCTGGATGCCATGACCGACCGCCATTGTGCAATTGAGCACAGCGTCAAGGATGTCTCCAGGAACTATGAGGACGTTCGCAAGAGACTAGACATGTTGGAGGGCAAGTTCGCTACAGCCTCTTTCTCCACCACGAACACGAGCGTTCGCACCACCGACACTGGGGGATCGGAGGCCAGACCTGCCCTCATAATTGGGGGATGGGATGCAGACCAAGCTGCACAGGAAACCCTACGTCTCGCCAAACAACACATTGCCGAGTTAAGGGTGGACTTCGACATGGACGATGCCTTCGTCCCTGGCCTTCGACGGGGATTCGCCATCGTGCCGATTGCACCCCGTGACGGGGAAGGGCAGGCCGAATTCCGTGCTCGCATCCGTGAAGGGCTTCGCTCCATCCGTGAAGCACGAGTGGTCACGGGCACCAAGCCTCAAGGGGGAGACCGCTACTTTTGGGCCGCGATGAGTGAGTCCCCAGAACGTCGAAAACGAGCCCAATTTGCCGGGAAGATCAAAAGGATGGTGTTAGAGATGGAAGGCGATCGCAGGAAGTTAGATGTGGAGTTCGGCACGGGGAACATTTGGTACAACAGCATCAAGATTGCGTCCGCGACCACCACAGCTCCTGCGGCCTCCGAGACAGTGGGTGTCGGGTGGATCACACTGTCCACACTGGCACGACAGATGGGGGTTTCTCTCAGTGCTCTCACAGAGAAGTGGGAGGAGCTGAAGGGACCGCTCCAGTGACAAACGGACGAGAAGTTTCACCCCGACGTCGAAGCTGATGAAGACGGAGGGGAGCTGCATGTTCTAACATGGAATGTCGGAGGGCTCACTCCGGATCGAGCTCTTCAACTTCTGTGTGACCTTCGAAAAGAACGAATTCACCCTTTTCACCTTGCCTTCATTGTCTGCCTCCAAGAGGTGATCGTGGAGACAGGGAAGCATACACTCGAGCTGCAAGATATACAACTCCTCTGTGGCAAGCAACAACTGGACTGGCGAGGCACGGGGATCGCCCATTCGGGCGACTTTCAGCACTACCAGCCCAAGCTCCTCAGATGTGCAACCAGTTTGATCGTCGGATATGACACACACCGGGTCACCGTGTTGTCAGGACACATGCCACACCATGCCACCGTTGCCGAGTGTAGCGACATCCTGCAAAACTGGGATATGCACCTGCACAACCCGAACATGAAAGCTGTGCTGGGATGTGATCTCAACGAGACCTTCACACAGGGGGATGCCAGCGACATCCACTCCGACAGCGCTAGAGGCGAAGTCATCTTGACCTGGTGGACAGCCAAAGGTGGGGAACTGCCAAAGCAACAACTCGGATGCCCGTCGTACCACCCCTACAACTACCGCATGGTTCCGCGCAGACTAGACTACATCCTCAGCCGGGGGATGACCGGGGGCTCCGGGAATGTCCTGGCCCTCCGCCATCTGGCCACCAGCGACCATGACCCAGTCACGGTTGCCTGCCGCCGACGCAAACCGGCACCACGACCCATAAAACCGGCAAAACCGTGGGGATGTCGACAGCCACGAGCCATAGGGGTTGTGGAACGACTTCTTGCTGCAGGACCACCTCGATCGGGGGATCCAGTACAGAGTATTGCCGACATCGCCATCGCCATCACCAAGCCCGGCCGTGGGATCCGAGGGTTCAAGGAGAGTGACTATCTCCGGGGGATGCGACAAACCATCGTACGCATGGTGCCTGGGGCAGAACAACGCCGCCAATGGAAAGAAGTCCTTCGTCTTCGGCGCCAGGAACACAGCAAATGGAAGACAAGCATGCTCGCCAAAGCTGGGCGCGGGTTTTGGCACTCCAAGACCGTTGTCGACAGGGACGGACACAACTCAGCGTGGGAGCTGCGCCTCCGCGAAGACGAACGATGGCGAACAACTCTGGTGAGACACTTCGAGGGGATCTTCAACAAAAGGCCCACCGACGAGGTTGCGAAGCGTTTTCAGCACATCCTGCACACCCTCACGGGGAAATGCAAACATACTCGGTGGCAGCCTTTCAGTGATGATGAGCTCAAGGCCGTCAGAAAGCGGTGGAAGAACGGCAAGTCTTGTGGCATGGACTCTGTATCTCACGAAGCCCTCAAAATCATGCTTGACGATGACGCCTGGCGGGGAAGACTCCGCAGCCTCTTCAATGACATGCTGTACGTTGGCAAAATCCCGGAAGCTATCGAACAAGGGATCACGGTCTTACTGGCGAAGGGGACGAGTCCGTCGAGCTGGGGAGATACGAGACCAATAACACTCAGCAGCACTCTGCTCAAGACGTACTCCCAGCTCATCCTCCATCGAGCCGCTCGCTGGGTGCAAGAACCCTCGCGACTTCAGTGGTCCCGCCGCCACCGCCAAGGAGTAGAACTTATCCTCATGCTTCGAAAGGTGTGCCGTACAGCCCACGACTGGGGACTCCCCATGTACATCGCCAAATTAGACATCCGCAAGGCCTTCGACTCCATCTATCAGGAGGCCCTAGCGGAGCAAGTCGCCACCGATGTTGGGGAAACCGGGGGAATGCCCTGGGAAGCACGTGCATGGGTCACCCTACTACATGCGTCAGAGCTCCGTGTATTTTTTCGAGATGAAGTTTTCGTGATCCAGCAGAGCAACGGTGTTCGACAAGGAAGCCCAGACAGCCCAATCGCATTCGGCAGAATAGTGGCGAAAGAGTTGGACACATCCATCATGGAGGCCAAGGCGAGCAAACCTACGATGGGGGAGCCACCACCGGAAGATGGCTGTTGCTACATGGACGACTCCTATATCTGGTCCACCACCAGACGCCACTTACAACACATGCTGGACAGGCTGGGGGAAAACCTGCCACCGCGGGGGCTTGATATCCACCCGGAAAAGACCGAGATCATCGACAACCAGGCCGGGGGGATCGAGTTCAAGGTCGCGGGGAACACCGTGGTCAGCAAAGGGCCCCAGCACGTCATCCGTGCACTAGGCAGCCCGCTCTGTTTTGCGGGGAACCCAGCCATACTGATCGCAGAAATGCAGGCAAGAGGGCGGCGTGCATTCGGCAAACACCGTGGCACACTGATGGCAAACGCGCCCATCAAGGGGAGACTTCAGCTTCATACAATCCTGGTGCGACAGTCAGCGCTCTGGGCCTGCGAGACATGGCCTTGCGTGGACCACGTGCTCAAAGCAGCCAACACCCTTCAGCTGTTGCATGCACGCACCATGATTAAGTGCCCTCGGTCACCGGGGGAGCAGTGGGTGGACTGGCACATACGCTCTATGCGACGTGCACGAGTCCTTCTACACCAGTACCGCATCGAACGATGGAGCACCTTCATACTTCGCCAAATCTGGGGGCTCCTTGGTCATGTTGCCCGAGGGGATGAAATCACGTCCAGCATGATGAGCTGGAGAGATTTGGCATGGTGGAGGATCGAGCAAAGCATCCCACCCGCATGGGGCGGGGAACGCCATGCACAACGTTTCCACCCTATGCTAGACATCGAGAGGCAAATCTCGGAGATCGCTGGCGAACGATGGCAACGCATAGCACAGGACCGAACCCAATGGGCTGCTCTTGAAGACGAGTTCCTGTGCCGCTTCGACCCACCCTGGGCCTCGGGGAGCCAGCTGTCGCTGGACAACCTCGCTCCGAACCAGAAGTCATGGTACACCGAGCAGAGAGTTGCACGAGAGCAGAGGCGGAAACGACTGAAAGGGGCTAAGGCGACCGGGGGATGAATGACGCCCTCATCACCGCGAATGGGGGAAGACAGACCTCAGGGAGCTCACCAACGCTTGCCATGCCGAACACAGTCAGCCGAACCTTGTATAGCAAGCATGCTCGAGACCGCTGGGGACGTAAAACATAGCACAAACCAACGTGTACCAGGTGCCTGTCATGGACTGCTAGCCCACACCCCGCTACAGTCGCTACGCCTAGCCCGAGCAGCACGAGCCCCTCCTACGCAAAACTGTGACCCGACCTCAACCCTAGCCTCAGTTTGCAGTCCGGAGCCGCGAAGGGATGCCAGAGATGTTGCCATGC